TCAGATATGATTTAATGTCATTATAATTTTCATAATGTTTAATCCATTTTTCACATAGTATTTTCATTACGTATTGCTCTTCCTTCCTATGCCTGAGCTACCATGTTGTCTGTGCTAAGTTATGTATAGAAGAACCTCCACTCCAGCTTTTGGCTTTTGCCTTTTTGCTTTTGCTAATCTACACCAAGGCTGTAGCATCACACTACTCCAGATAGATTCCTCTGCTGACCCTGTGTGGAATGACCACAGAAGAAGGCATAGTAGTCAGACTATTTGACTTCAGGCAGTGACAGACAGCAATATGGGGTGCCATGCCTTGTGTAGGTAGTAGCAACTATAAGCAAGGACATTGCAGAGTTTTACTCATTGGTGTTGAGTTCCAGGTTTATTGGAGAAGTCTACAGAAAATGAATGTACAGTGCGTGCCACTCACTTAGAAGATATTTCAGTGATACCTTTCCTAACCCAATCTCCAACTGCCCTTTCTAAAAGTGAACGGAGTCATAGAATCTCAGATTGGCCTGGTTTGGAAAGGGACCTTAAAGTCAGTCAGTTCCACCCCCCTGAACTGGGGCTACCCGTGGCCCCATCCAGCCTGACCTTGAATGCCTCCAGGGATGGAGCATCCAAAGCTTCACTGGGTAATTGTTCTAGTGCCACATCATCCTCTCAGTGAAAAATTTCCTTCAAACATCTTACCTAAATTTCACCTCTTTTAATTTGAAAAAGTCCTGTCTTGGGGGATATACAAGAAACAACAGATGTGTAACAAATTAAGCCTGGCTTAATGAATGAAATACTAGCCCTTAATTTCCTCTTTGTTTGACAAGCTGCAAAAAAATTTGTATAATAGTCTGCAACATTTTTTTTTTTATTTTTTTTTTTACTAGAGATCTCTACCCAGGAGAAACTTTGACTTAAAATTCTCAGTCTTCCAAAGAAATATTCTGACTTCTTTCTTTTCAAAATAAAATCAAATTATCAAATTCTCCATTCTATTATTTGAATTTGAACAGAATTTGAAAAGAATTTGCAAAATTTAAAAAAATGCTTTTCCATTACTTTATGTTCTTACCAGAGTCTTGCTATTCAAAGAAAAACTGCAGATGTTTTTTGCTTTCACTGTTTTTCTTACAGGGGTCACGTGCTTCTTTTAATTACAGCCCTATTCCCTGCTGAGGCCTGTACAAGTATTACCCACAGCAGTGTTTTAGTTGCTACATCTAGACTGAGACAAAAGCTAATCTTCTGTGTCAGAGGTTTACTGTACTGGATTTATTAACACATTCATGATCTTCACTAGTCTTTTAAAATTCTTCAGGTGAAATGCATCCTTAGTGAAGTCAACCATAATAAATTCTAAAACTGCAGGGTGATTTTGTGACAGATGATGAATTCTGTGCAATAATATTACACTGCAGAGACATAACTACAAAGGAAAAAAAAATGAACATTTGCAAATACTTATTGGCACAATAATTATCCATTACAAATGACTAATTGATAACTCAAGTACAGACAAAGAAAGAATCCCAAGGATCAGGAATCAAAGCAGGAAAAGACTGTGCATTGTGTCACGTAGCCATTGATCAATCCATGCTATTCAGAATGTGTCTTTGTATAGTTGCAGAATGGTTGGGGTTGGAAGGGCTCTTAAAGTTCTCTTCCTTTTATGTAATATTTCATTAACTCTACAAAATAAGTGTAGAAGAAATATGCATCAAGAAATTGATTCCTTCAGTTATGTTTATGTGTCATTGATTTAAGTGGGAATGACAACAAGTATTATTATTAATCAAAACAGAGCTCGTATTTAAACATCCAAGGGAAGAATATGGTACTTCAGTTGCAAAGTAGCAAAACATTCACTCCAGTACTTCATTCACATGCAGTTTTCTAAATGAGTCTCAAACTGTTGTATGTAGTGAGACTCGCCTGTTTCAACAGCAGGGAGTGTGTAGGCACATGAGTCCTCTATTTGCTGCTGTGCTAAGCAATAAATTAGCAAAAGCTGATACAATATTAACCTCCTTTAATTACAGTGTTCTTGTTGTCTGTTTGCTCTACTGTGTATATTTAGTTGCACAGTCTCTGAGTATTGTGGTGTTTGCAGTGTGATCATAAATAAATGGCTGTGCAGTTCATTTTCAGGCATGAGTGATGAATGTTCATAAGCCTTTAGAAGTGCTTAGAGAAGAAGTTGACTGTTTCAAAACATTAAAGCAAATACTTAAATTGGTTCATAAATTCTGTTTCCATATAGTCTCTTTCAGACACTTGATAAGAATTTAGATTCAGTTCACAGATAACTTACAAGATAAAATATCATGTAAGTGTATTAGCAAATCCATAAATAATCAAACACATGAGGATACAGGTGAAAATGCAAGTGCAAATCTAAGAGCGTGATGAATTGGAAAGTTAGCGTCTTGGTGGGTGGCAATCTACCAATGCCCAGTTAAAATCAGAGAGAATTTTATGGGTTTAAGTAGTAAATATTTGATGAAATACAAATTTCAGGCACTGAAAGCTACTGTAGGTGGGAAATGCCTAAATTTTGTAACATGTTCCAAACTAGATGTTGTGCATAGGACAGCCAATCGCAATAGCTATAAGTGTTAATCGAGTGGCTATGTAATGAAGTTCAACTATTTAATCCTGTAGACAGATTTTTTTCCATGTTTTATTCTACAGTATTGTTCTACAAAATCAAAGCAAGTCAAAGTTGTATTGAGACTAGAAGATCTATTTGTGACTGAAAGAACGTGTTAATGTTGTGACTGATTTTTCAGCTTCATGGAATAGAATCTATATCAGATTCAGGTCTGACAGAGGTGTGACTTCTGAGAGTGCTGCTTTCACCCTCAGGTGTAGAATTAGTCTGTGATGTACAGATGAAATTAATTGCTGTGCAGCAGAGTTCTTTTATACTGTTTTGCTTATCTTTAAACAAAAAGTGTTTAAAAAACATTTTCTGAAAACATTAGGTTTCTTGCAGTTGATTTCAGTTCAGTATCTTTAAACTGATACCTTCCTGTTAAAATTGCAACAAGCAAAATACTTAGGTCATTCTGAAAGTATTGCCTCCTACTTCATTCTACAGAAACTACAGCAGGTGCAAAGAGCACAATAGCACTATATCTGATGGTAGAGCACATTCTCAGCTACAAAATACTATTTTTCAATATAGTCACCACCATTAACTGTGCATTTTTGCCAGGAGTGAACAAGAGCCTGCATGCCACACTTGTAAAAATCTGACCCACTGTTGCCACTGCTGAAACACAACGCCCACCAACTCACTGTGCTCACATCCACTGTTTGGTCTCTATAAACATTCAGCAAGCATCAGTGAATGTCAGTGGGTGTTATTTTTTTTTGCATGGAGGAATTTATTGACACACCTTTGCTTCATATGCACTTGCATGTCAAAAGCCATTCTGTGGGACTGCTCCTCTGCTGCTATATGTGACACAGCAAAAAAAATGTAAGGGAGTGTTGTGTTGGGGGAAAGACTCAGCCTCTACTGCCATACTGTCAGTGTTTTTCTCTGACACTGTGGGCCAATGTAACAAAATAGGAGGTATTACTTTCAGAACAGCCCTCATATTTTCTGGTCATCTGTGACTCCAAGAGTTTGGATTTTTTCACTGACCTACATAGAAGCCGTCATTCGTATCCAATATCCCAGCTTAAAAAATACCTTATATCAATATTTGCAGAAGTCTCCCAGCACGAGCATATTAGTAGGAGATGACTGGAAAACATATTCTACTACATTATGCAGCACATTTCTCAAAGTCACAAAAATAGCACAAGATTTGCTTTTACCTATTCATTGCTGATGGTTATTGTCTCCATGGTAATTATTCTTGCAGTGTTTGTTTAACCCCTTAATATTTAAACTCTTCTTGTACACATTACATAGTTGGCAGAGAAGGCTACAGCGGAAGACATGAGTGGTTAATTGACTTTTATTGAAGTACTTAATAGCTTGCTCCTGTCTTCATCGTTAAACACTGCTGATCCACTGTAAACTAAGATCTACTGGGATGATGTTTTTAAAGATGTTTAGTTCTCCTCTACCCTAAATTTTACTTCTGTTGTTTCTTCTTTTTTCCCAAAATACTGTGGTGGTAAAAAGGATAAAGCTATTGCTACTGAGTCTTTTTTTCTTAAAAGGAACATATTAAATTATCTTGCCTATTGAAGGGCAGGTTTTGCATGTTTTGTTTTGTTTTGATTTTGCATATGGTTTACATACAGTTCAGTTCAGGGAGCAGAAATTGTGCAAATTCTCTAGGTAGCTACATTTTGCTTAGCTTATTTAAACTGCTGTAAAGAGATCTGAGGTCTTTTTAAAAGATCAAATCTTATTTCAGTTAATTCTAATGGTTTTCTACTTGTAGTATTCCACCATTATCACCACTCTGTGTGTTTGAGCTCTATTAAAGATTTAAATGAAAGTTTTATGGAGAACACTTTTTTAGAATTCAGAGGATTTTATGGATTGTTACTCATAACATCTGCTACTTACAGGGGAAAAAAAATGCCTTAAAAAGCTCATTTAATGTGTATTTAATGCTGATGGTACAATTTTATATTAAATAAGATTGGTTTTAGTTTAGCAGTTGTGTTTGTGTAGCTGTAGGAAAGATCTGTTTGTTCTATAAACTCAGGTCTGAAGTTTATAACTGGGCTGTTAAAACTTTCACTACAAGGAAGGTTGATATTTCTCAGCATACAACGTGTTTTTCTGGAATAAGAGTACAAAATAGACATTTTAATGCTAATGAATACTTGTTGGTTACTGAAAAGCATTAATTAAAGAAATAAGTAGAGGCCTTTCTATTTTCCTGCAGTATGCTTTGTAATTATTTGTTTTTCCTCTGAACCCAAAACTTGACTCACATTTGAGATAGCCACAATAGATATTTTGGGAGGTATTGTAAAGGCAGAGAAATCAAGCTTAAGCCCCTTTTTATTATGTTTAACTGCAGGAAACTCTGATCAGTTTTGTCTTGACATTGAACGGGGCAGGTGTGTCCACATAAGGTGCAACAGAGAGGATTTGCATGCTGGCTTGCTGAAGTGACAGAATTGTGCAAAATAACTGCAGTGGTCTGGCAAGCTTCAGGAAGCAGGTGGGTCTGAGTTGCCTGTCTCCAAAATTAAGATACTGAAGATGCATGCTTGCCTGCTGCCTAACTGAGGACCTGTATACACTTTTTTTTCATCACGTTATCATCTCCCAAGCTCCTTTTCTGTGCATCTTGACATATTTGCAACTGTCTGAAGCTGGGTAGGGTTGCCTATAACTCTGAGCACATTCAAGATTGAGAAATTCTATGTGTACATGTGAATACGATAATGCTGTGAGCAGAATTTGTATATGCATATAGGGAGGCATAAATTTACATACAAGAGATGTTGATACTGGCTTTTATTGGATACAAGTAATAGCATTCATTAGATTTAGACGCTATTTCTCCTTCGTATTTTTACTTTTCTTCACTTGCCTTGTTAAATGCTATTAATTTTTAACAAATATGATAGATTATATAATTATCATATTAATCAGAAAAAATCCTTTTTTTTTTTCTCATAAATGTTTTTATCAGGAAAAATATTGCTCAAATTGAAACGTCTAGGAAATCATGAAAATTTCATCAGGGAGCGTTTTCAGAATGGATACAGTTCAGGTGAAGAGACCAGAATGGTCAGCAATCTGGTAATTAGAAAACTTACCTGAGAGCATTTGAAGTACTGATTAGAATCTAGCCGTGCAGATCACAAGGATATGGCTGAACAAAGAGGCACTAGCTATTCTGAGGTGGTTTTCTTTCTCAAAAACAATGAATTACGAGAAGATAATTGGGAGCAGTCAACAAGGACTTGAGAATGGTAAGTCTTACTATACCAGCCTGAAAACTACTCATCTAAAGAGGCAGTGGTGGAGAAGGGAGCTGTAGTGAATGTACTATAACTTGACTCAAGAAAGGCTTTTTGCACTGTCTTCTTTTTCACAGTAATCACATTTGGAAAATAAAGTTGGGGCTGAATCATTGGGTAGTTAAAGGGTCTGAAAATTAGCGACCATCAGGCTAAAGAGGTCAATCGTTGCTTTAATGTGGGAGTATGAAGGGGTAAATACTAAAGCTGTTCATGTGAAATGCCTTAATCAGTCATCAGTCATCTTAATCAGTCACCATTGTTGGAAGTATTTAAGAGGTGTGTGGATACGGTGCTTAGGTTTAGTGGTAGTCTTGGTTGTATTATTGGTTAATTTGATAGTTGGACTTGATCTTAAGGGTATTTCCTACCTAAGTGATTGTATGAAGCAAGTGAATACACAGTTGGCCAAATTGCAGATGATCCTAAATTGCAGGTGTGTTATGGCAAAAGATAGAACTTCAGTGCAAAGAAATCCAGAAAAATTTGAGAATCTGGCCAACAGAAACTTCATAAAGATCAACAAAATGAAGATCAAAGTTTGTGGTGGGTTGGAAAAACATTATGCCTTTATAAATACTGGGATCCCACTGACTAAGAAACAGCCAGCCCTGATGGAAACCTGGAGTTACAAGGGATGCAAGACTGAATGTGAGCAAGCAGTGCCCTCTTACTGTGAATAATGCAAATCACATACTGGGCTACATTATATGTCATCTCGTTACTGTTGTGGCTGCACCTCAAATATCACATCTGGTTTCAGGCCCTTCAGGTCAAGGAAAATGTTGGCAAACTGGAGAGGACTCATCAGAGGATTGTCAAGATATTTAGGGACTTAGGACATCAGCCCTTGGTAGAGAGATTGTGGTAAATGCATTTGCTTTATCTGGCAGCGATCCTAATAGCAGCCTACAGCCATAGAAGTAGAAGAGGAATTGCAGAGATGACAGAGGCAGTCTCTTCCCAGTCGATGACATAACACGGAACAATAGTTATGAATAGTGGCTTGGGAGGTTTGAATGAAGCCTTCATATCAAGCCTGCCAATGCAGATTGTGATTGTGCTTTTCATTCTCTCACATTTCACAATCATTTATTTTAATATCATTAACATTTCATGTCATTCAGTTGCTTTTAACACAGAATGAGTTTAAACCAAGTGAAAATTTCTATAGTCAATTACTCCTTCAGGTTCTCTTGTCATGTCAGTGTATTTAAGTCTCTTAGGGGAACAGTCAGATCTCTTTTTTTGCACAGTGAAATGAATGGAAGGTAAAATATCAACTTGGAATTCCCCAGGAAAAGGATTTCAGTCAGCTTTTGTAACAGGCTTTAAGCAGATTCAAACAGGTTTTTAATTTATGGATTTATAGCACATGCAATGCATCTGTATTCACCCCAGTAGACACGAACAGTTCTGTCTAAGGTATTAAAGTCTGTTGGGTTAATGATCAACTGATTGAAAATTCTCAATAGGCTTTGATATAATAGACTATCATATTCTATTAAGTAAACCATACAAGATTATTTAAAATTGTAATTCTGATTAAGAGCTATTTTTCCTGAAATATAATAGAGAGATCTGGAAAATAAATTGCTAATAGAATTGCCAGAATAATTTACTGTTGCATGACATGAAAGTGGCTTAAATCTCTACTGGCAGATGAGCACACACAGTAATGGTTCAAAATAATCATTACTACTTAATCATGACACTTTCTGCTGGAGGAGGTAGTTATAATTTTCCAAAATGATACACTTACATTTCCTCAACTCCTTCTCTTCTTCCTCTTAATGGCATATTTCAAGTGACAAGACTCATACTGAAATGAAATTTATTTGTATCAGTTAGTGAATTAGTGGAATGACCACAAAATAGTTGTTGAAACATAACTAAAATAATGAAAAGCATTTCAAACCATAGTTATGACTTTTACCATCACTGACTTGGTAACTAATAGCACATTATTACTAATTAATAATTTATATTTTACTGATATGTTTACTGGTAGCAGTCTCTGACATGATGTTTCATATCCCATTTCTAATGTTCAGTTTTACTACACTACATATGCATTATTTTCCTTTTCTGGCATGCATTAGAAAACAAAGTTTTCTTACTGTTTTTTCTTAATTTATCAGTTAACCTTTTTCAGCATAAACACCTGTAGACTCAAAGAGCTCTAAAAATAATATTAGAATTTACTGGGTGTAGGAGTGTCCAGTAAAATCCTGCAGTGGAAGGAGACTCAGTGGAAATGGGCAAGGGAGATGCCCAGAGAATAATGCAGGCTGTGACTGGCCGCTGCTGTTGCAAAGAAGGCTGACTTTATCCCAGTATAAGGGGACAAGAGGTTGACTTTGTTTTGAGTAAAAACCTGTGTCTGTTGTTTGGATCAATTGATTGTTTCATAAGTGTTGCAAATGTTTATCACTGAGGTAGCCTGACAAGTGTGGGGAAAGTGAATACATTGCTTAGCCAAATATAAGGCATAGAGATTAGGTATCTAGCAAAAGAGTTTCAAAAAGAGCAGCTGGCTTGTTCTGGTTTCAACTCACATATTTCTTCCTGGCTGCTGGAATTACCCAGCGTTGTGGTGGTGAGTGTAACAGAGATTAGTAATGAGAATGATGTCAGTATTGCAATTGAACTGGGCATTGCAGTTCCTATATTTTGCAATGTGAAACTTACATGTATGTTGTGTTTTCAGTGTACTTTGTATTTCACTGTGTGGAATATCAAAAAGGTCTATTCAGAGATAATAGGATTCTGAAAAGGTAATGAATGGTGTTGACCAATTTTTTAAATGAAAAGCACCGAATGTGAGCTCATCTAACTGTTATCCATACGTGAAACTCCCAAACTACCTGAATGTTTTAAATTTTAATTTATTAGATTCTTGGTGAAGCAAAGGCAATTTGCAGGACAACTGTTCAGTGCATGTACCATTCAATTAACATTTTGGTACTAATGGATGAGTTAAAATGAGAGAGGTGGTAGCTAATGCCACCTTGCGTAGTAATTTTTTCATTGAATTTTTTTTCAACATATTATGGCTTTCGGACAGTGATTGCCTTAAAATCTGTGCTTCATTATTAGTCTTCCTTACTTTAACAGGACTGAGCTACTTAAAAAATTCTGATTTCACAAATATGTAGTGTTTAAAATTCATTTTTTCCCTTAAATCCTTATAATTAGTGGTAATATATGTCAAGTATGTTTGTGAGAGCAGGTTACTTCTTCATGTTTCGGTAGTGGTTTCTGGTTGTTGGTTTTCTTTGGTCCTATACTGGGCTATGTTCTCCTTGTTTTTATTGTGTTTTCTTTTTCTTTTTTCAAGTGTCCTTCACTGACATACAGTTTGTTGTGCTACTTCCCTGACTTCTGGTCAGGACAGGATGACTTACCTTCATTCACCCCTTGCCTGTTATGTGGCCATTTGTTCACTAATGTCAAACATTTACTGTGGCATGTTAGGTCAAACCATAAGAGGTGGGCTTCTTTTGACACTAACTCATGGAAAATGCCTTTCCTGTGGAATCATCATAACAGTTAAAGCATTGTAACATCTTCCTTTAGATCAGTTATGCATTATTGTCTTTGTGCCTATAAGATAAGTGAAACATGACTCTAAACCTGAATTTTCTGACCAGTGTTTTTTGCTTTTGTTTGCTCATGCAGTCCCAGGCTATGTCCTGAATGTACAGATGCTCACAAGATGCTACAGTGGGATTAGAAATTTTAATTTATCAACAGACATATTGTTCCTTACCACTAGAAAAATATTTTTAATGTACCAAAGCTCGTTGTTATATTCAAAAGAGGAACTTACTAATCTGTGATAGATCAAGCCTGGGTCAGGCTGTCTAAAAAGCTCTTGAGTTTTGTATCAAATCAGTAATTATTGAAATACCTTGAAAAATATACCTCACCTTTAGGTTTTGTAGAATAATACTTTTACTGATATATATATTTTTTTCTTTTCTTATTCAGAGCTACAGTTGCAGGTAGTAGATTGAAAGTACATAGGTTGCTCTGAAAGTAATGCTTCTAATTTATTCCCATTGGAGCTAGAACAGATAAAGCATAATTAAGGTTATTTGCTAGAGCAAATAGTTTGGTCTCTATAAACATTCAACAAGCATTGATGAATGTCAATGGGTGACATTTTTTCCGCACAGAAGAATTCAGTGCCACGCCTTTGCTTTATAGGCACTCCCAGGTCAGATGCCATTCTGTCAGACTGCCCTTCTGCTGCCATCTGTTACATGGCAACAAAACGTAATGGAGTATTAGTGAGAAGGTTCAACCTTTACTGCCATACCACCAACATTTTCCTCTCACATTGTGGGCCAATGTAGTAAAATAGGAGGCATTGATTTTGGAGTATTTGTAGTAGTAACTGAAACAATATATAGAAAAATCAGCTACTTCAGAGTTATAAGAGAACTGCAGTGCAAATAAGATAGCATTTGGCCCACAGGCTGTGACAATAATTAAAGGAGTTACTGAGATCATGTGCTAATTTCATGTGTCAAGGAAATACTGGCAATTACATCTGAAAGGGCATAATGTGTTGTTTTGAAGTTTATATACAGGATAGAAACAGTGAATTTTAGACAGTTTGCTATAGTTTACAAGCAAAAACAAATAAAGTTAAAATTAATTTACTTGAGATAAGAGATCTAGAAGAAATTATTTTGTTCTTTTATAAAAACTACAGAGAAAAAGATTTAGAATTGTAGAACTGAGAAAGAAAATTACTCTGGGAAAAATCAATAAGGCTATGCACAAGAGAGAAAGGGATACTCGGCATGAGTGAAGGGTTAGTAGAAATAAACCTTTAGTGTGAAACTTAATCCTCTGCTAAGTACCGACACAGACATCACACAAACCAATTAAGGACTATTTAAGAATGATGTACCTTTTCATTAAGTGTCTCTTAAATGTAAAACTTGAGGAGGTCCCATCACTCAAATATTCACTTAAAGGTGACCAATAAAGGCAGAGGAAAAGCTTTCCTTTAAACTACTTTCTCTTTTGATCAGGAAAAAACTAGCTGAGAAGCTTAAAAACAGTCTATAGTAACAGGAGATGAAAAAGGTAGTCTGTGATTTTACAATTACCTCGTTAATTTAGAATTTAGCATTGAATTTTGCCCTGCAAGACTGAAGTGCCTCATAGAACAGTTTGTGACTTGTAAGAAAGAGTATTAATTGCTTAATCATTAATTATCTATTCCATATTTCTGTGTCATCATTTAATTCCATTAAGTTTAATATTTATACATGTGTGGTCTTGAAGCATTGCATACAGATAGTAATGGAATACACAGTGATCAGTGAACCAGTAATGACACAAAACATAGTCAATTTCATCAGTATTATTTTAATTTTATCTGTTTGCAGCATTACAATAGAAAACTGGATCACACTTGGAGATGCATTTTTAGAGACCATAAAGTATGACCAGACAAAATGATTTCTAGAGGAACAAAATGCCGTGACAATAATATTGTATCTTGGTGGTGTACTCTTAAAAAAAAAAAAAAAATGACAAGTGCAACCCACCCAAAAACAGCAACAGAAAAAAACAGAGAAGAGGCCAAGTTTCTAGCAAATGAGTGTAATAATCAGAAACATAGCATTCCTCATTTATTATAGTTCTTTCAAGACACCATGATGACATAACAGATGCTTTTTAAGAGCTAAATTTTCTTTTCCAGTACAGCTGTTCCCAGTTGTGATAGAGAAAACCGGAATATAGAATGGACTGTGTATGATATCTCATAAAAATGCAGCAAGCTAGTGAGATTTACATAAAAAGCACTTCAAGACTATAAAGATTTAGAAGATATGAACTGCCTTTACCAATTCATACCAGTGATATTCTCATCCTAATGTGGTTTTGTTTGGAAAGAGTAGGAAGCAGTTGGAAAATAGTCCAGTGTTCAGAAGGGCAATAGGGGTGTTCTGCATTCCATATTTCAGTGAAAGAAATATCTCATGCAATTATGGCCAGTGAACTCAGGACACATAAAAGGAAATAGGTAGCCCATGGAATTTTCAATGGAACAGAGAACAGATAACGTGTACTTATTAATAGGGCTGGGTAATTTTTTATTTACTAATACTATTTGTAGCTGTGATTGTACAGATAATCAAATTTCATGAGTCAGAGAAATATGATGAAGAAGGAACACTTTTATCTTTTTCTTACTGTCATTTAGATGTTTTGTGGTCCTATAAAGTGTAAGAGGAACTGTAGAATAGTGGATGGACCCTTTATGACAAATTCTGTATTACTTGATATTTGAATATCCAGTGTAGTATGCTCATTTCTGTCAAACCTCACTAAATATTTCTACTTTAAGAGTTAGTTTGGACAAGCAAGGCTGATAAATGTTAGAGCCAAAATAAAACTAAGGAGCAGAGCTAAGTGACCCATTAAAAATATCTTACAATTTTTTTATACCTATGACATCTAATATATAGGGCTGTAGTTCCAACTGATTTCAGTGATTCCTTGTGACTTATAGTACTTTAAATGAAAGTGAGATCAATCATTGCACAAAAAGAAATTTTCAGTTGAGATTTTTCTGTCTCAGTGCTGTGATACAGAAGCTGAAGCAGTGTTTTCTCTTTTGTCACTTTTTGGTCAAGACATTCTCTGTTAAAGGTTCTGGGAGAGTTCTGTCACAGTTATACTTTTTAACTGAAGGCATCATTTGCCACAGACTGTATTCAGTGTCACACTCTTTAAAAGGATTGCTCTTGGCATCACAGCCTAATGGTATTACAAATCCTGTCACAATATCAGTAGTGAACGAGTAAGAAAAGAAGAAATATTAGAATGGTTCTCCATAGTCATAGAGATTGGCAAAGAATAATCTGGCTCTTCTCTTGGTCATACCAATGAAATGCTGTCAGTCTCAACTCCCTTGATTTACAGTCTGATTGCAACACCACTGGAATCAATCTTCACCTGTCCAAGGGGAGCAGAGAATTCTCATTTAAACACTCCACAGTGTACTAAGTAAGAAGAAACTTGAACTCAGTGTGTCAGCAGATCAGTGGCAGGTTCACTTGTTTTAGATTTAACGAATTCAATTGTAATGAAGCAAATTCAAGCTAAAGATTATTTTGGATAAATTACGAAGGAAGATCATATAATCCAACAACCTCCACCTAGACTTTTGTACACCAACCGTAATCTGTCAAAAAGACACCTAAGAAAGCAATAAGCAGTGTCAAATTTGATCATGTTAGACCACAGACTGCAGCCTGTCTGTCACATAGCTCCACTAGATAATTGGATATGTAATAACATTGAAAACCAAGTAAGAGAATTTCCAAGACAGCGGAAGTTTTAATTTTAGGAAATTCTGTGAACTTTCTAAATGGAAATCAGGAAAGCCCTTTTTTCTCAAAAGAAAATTACATAATTATTCCATTAGCATTAAGACATATTTTTTATTATTGCAAACGGATTATTCATGTTAACATGTGGCATTTCAATCAGCTGGAGACACAAGTAGTTCAACTGCAGCTTGTACCTCCTAATTCACTGTGTATGTAACGAACCCATGACAATCTCACCAACTGTGCTTTTTCACTCAGTTAACTCCATCAATTTCACACATCTCATGAAGGGCACTTTGAGGTGGTGTGCATACACTTCAAATGACATCTTTATGTTCTCAGTAAAAACAAATGTGTTTAATATGGCAATCCTGACTATGTTTGCCAAAAGAATTGTACCAGCTCTGGCTGGGATGGAGTTAACTTTCCCACAGTAGCCCACATAGTGCTGTGCTTTGCACTTGGAGCTAGAATAGTGTTGATATTACACCACCTTGATGCCAGCAATAAGAATTCTAGTCTATTGCTGATATTACAGAAAATCAGGAGGAACGAGCATAGCTCAGATGGTAGAACCTAAATATATTCAGGCTGTCCAATAATCTCTGATTGATTAGTCCTTAATTACCTGCTTTTTATTATAACTTTCTTTAAGTAGACTGCATTAAATCTTTACCAAAAAAAAAAAAAAAAATTAAGAGCAGTGGTAGAAATAAAACACTTGCACTGTGCAAATGCAATTAGTCTTTCTTCTGTAATGCCAGTAGAAAACATAGTGGCTCCCTGAGGTGTGTTTAAACATTCTTTGAACTTTCTTGTGTCATGCTCAACTGTGTATGTCACACACTTCTAAAGAACATGTATAGTGGAAGCAATCACTCCTATTTGACTGCAATAACACTGTTTATCCTAGAATAATAAAACAGTTTCAGTGGAAAGGAACATTTAAAGATCTAGTTCCAACCCACCTGCCATGGGCAGGACATCTTCCTGTAGACCAGGTCCATTGAAGCCCCCATCCAACCCGGCCTTGAATATTTCCAGGGATGAAGCATCTATAACTTCACTGGGCAACCTGTTCCAGTGTCTCAGCACCCACATAATGAAAAATTTCTTTCTTAAGTCTAAAATCTGCATCTACCCTCAATTTGCCAATATCTATGCAGGAACACCCATGTTTAGTACAATCTTTCAGTGAAACACTTGTGACTCATATGAGATTGTTATCTAGAAGGCAAGGAAAGACAGGTTGCTTATCAGTGTAGCATATCAAAGTGATTTTGGAAGGCTGCAAATAATGTAAGTCTTTTTAAAGATCCTTATTTTTGTATGTGCACAACTCAACTAGACACCGAGTCCAGGAACAGGTACAGTCAAATGTTAGAGTCACAGAACATCCCTGTAAATGTTGGGCAGCATCCCTGCTGATGGGAGTTAATATAACCCTCCCTGGCTGTTACGACAGAGAACAGACATTTCTGCATCCTCTTGAAAAGAGAGAACTTGTAACATTTCATTAAAGGATGCGTTTGAAAAGAATGACTAATTATTATACTATGGAATTTTTAAATTTTGGTCCCTGACTTATGTATGTGGAAATACATGAAAATTGCTGCTTTTTACAATAGTGTTGGGATTCTGGTGTCCTTGAAATTTCTTCTTAATAAGTATTTCTTAAGACCTACGATTTCTTCTTAACAAGAGTCCTTTTATTCCCTACACTTTTTTTTTTTTTTTAGTCCTTCCCTTTTCCACTCTTCGTCCAGTCTCATTCTTTTCCATTTTCCAGGATCCATAGCATTCTCTGGTATAGCACCTGTTTTCTAGAGCACTCAGCCTGTCTCTCCTGTACTCTACTGTCCATTTCCAGTTTCTGTTAATTCCTTCTTCAATCTCTTTGCTATATTAAATTCCTATAAAATATGTCCCTATAATCAGCTTGTTCCTTGCTCATAGAAGTGGCTGAATTTCTCTGGTAATTTTCTGATTTTTTTTTTTTCTGAAATTTTCTAAAATCAGTCTGAGTTTGAAATTTCCTAGAAACTTTTGGTCCAAATAGTTCCAGTTTTATAAAGTTATGAGAAACAGAAAATACAACTTTGTGATGGTGTAGTGGAAATGCTAAGTCACAGCCTGAAGCAGTGATTGAGCACCTGGTGGGAAGGCAGGGCCAACCCAGGGGAGCTCAGGTGCATGCAATGTACCTGAGTAACTGGAAGGGGTGGAGCCAGGGTGTGCCCCTTCTCAGACCTCATTTAATGGTTGGCAGCAGGGGTGAGGGCATCTCAGTGGAGATCCCTGCCTATCTGAGGTCTTTCAAAGGTAAATGGTCTTTCTTACTTTGTTTCTGTGTCCGTAGCTGCTGCACTTGGGCTTGTCTTGATTTGCTGCAGCATGGGGTTGTGCCACCCTTCTACTATCACTGTACTTTCTGTTACATTTTAGCATTGTAGATGGTAATTGTTCCAAGACTTGACCCTTTTGGTATTGCCTTTTTTTAGCTTTGCCTAATCGCATGTTGGACTAATTACATGATTTCATTGAAATAGCTTGTCCTTGTTATTCTGAAAATTAGAAGCAGTGTCACTGATTATTGCTGTTTGTTGTTTGTTTGTTTTCTGTGCTTTCTATGTATTCGTGTAGATAACTGATTTCAAAATATCTGTGTTTTATATCCAAGTATAAACAAACTCTTTTAGACAGAAGTGTGTTTGTGTATATACATATATGTAAATGATAAACGGAGGACAGAGCAGAAATGACACTTTTTCATTACTATCAATACATTCTTCTCTTTAACAAGAGGATGGGGTGAAGTAGGTTCTTTTGATGTTAATTCTATTTAAAATTACTTTGTAGGGTCATAAATTAACATTAATATAAAGTGTGAAAACTGAAGTTTCACTTTAATGCTGTACATTAAGATTTAATGACCTAGACTTATTTACACCTAAATTAGTTTTTTAATGGTCTAATTAACAAAATATATCAGTTTGCCTCTTCAAATTAAGCCATTCTGTGAGTAGTATTTAGTCATTTCAAATGCTTAATAAAAGATGAAAGCCTTCCATTATTTTTAGTGAGTACTATTCTAGCAAGCTGTTTTATCTTAACACATCAGAAAATTCACATTCAGAATAAATCCAAATTGGGAGGAATTAAATGCAAAATGTAGAATTTTAACTGGATTTATATAGGGGGGGGAAAAAAAAAAAAAAAACATATCTAGATATTGGTAAACTTCAGAATGAAGAATGTTAAGTCTGAGGAACTGCGGTTTCCAGAAAAGGATCTGCTTATACTTCTGAAGTGCTAAATGTCCAGACTGTGAAATGAGAAATAGAGTCTTGTTTGCAGTGAGGAAAAATGAGACCTTTCTCTTGAGTGTTGATCTCTAGTGGCTCAAGTTCAGTTCTATGGGTTTGACTTTCTTAGAAATTAAATTATGAAAGACTTTTAGCTGATTTTTAAGCCTTCTTTCCAGCTGCGTTCTCTAGGATTCAGTTTACATTGGAACGTGGTCTATTTGTTCTCTTAATATTATTATCTTTTATTTGGAAGCTTCCAAGTACTTTGTAGAGAATAAATGTTATCATCTTTTTACGAAGAGCAGGGGATAGAAAATGATACAGGACTTGCCCAAAATCAGAGAAAGTCAGTGACAGGCTCAATTCATTCTTAGGTATTTCTTATTAACTTGGCAGAGAGTAACAGTTCTAAAGTGCAATGATAATAACTTATGTAAGCGACAAACGTCAAGCAGGAGAGGACCCCTACTGTTTTCTGCTGGGGCTGCTTGCATGAATCGGCTTGAGCATTCAGATAAGGTATTTTCAGGATTTAGGCTTTACATATGATGGAGAATTGAACTTTAAATAAACTTTAAATAGATTCCCAATTCTTTGTGCTTCCCATTATCCTGCGTTGCCTCTCAGCCTTGAAATAGGGCGTGTCAGACAGCCAGAACTGAGCAGACAACTGGAAGGGGGAAGAGTGTCTCCTATGAATTAAATCTAAGGACTGACCATCATCCCCTCCCACCCTCCCCAAATCATACGCTTCAGTTTCAATATCCTTCATACTTTGATATCAGTCCTGTGATTCTATTTTGGTTTGTCTTCTGATTTTTTTGAACTCCCAGGGTTGGCTGCACTGACATCATCTCTAAATTTGGTGGAAAGAAAGATGAATGCTCTTAGGGTGAAGGCGCCTGAACAGCAGCAGCTGCTGATCTGCTCAGCCAACACAGTCTATTTTATCATAGTCTGAGTTTGAAGGTTTCTCAACTATATTTTTAGCATGTTAAGTGAAAGTTCATTCCTCTTTTGACTGAGGTGACTGTACCGTTAGTGAAGTGTACTGCTAGTTTTGCAAAATAATAAAGATGGTTAATTTTGTGATATACTTGCAGGTGCAAAATGAGAATCACTCCAACTTCTATTATGTTACGTTCATAGTCAGAATGTTCAGAAAACAGACCTGCATGTATGAAATGATAACTATCTCTGCTTTAATGTGCATTACATCTTTTAGAAAGGATTAAAAAAAAAAAAGTTACTTGATTCTCCTGCTAGGGCTGGAAAGTTATGCGATGGAAGTAAATAGTATCTAGAATGTAGCAAGTTCCCTAATATCAGAAGAGATGCTTCTGTTTACAAGTTCCCAGATATCTCAATAGGAACAACAGGTCAGTAGTGCAACTTTGCTTTTAGAACCGAGCTAATTTGGAGTTATCACTGTGTGACACTCATCACCCCATATAGATGTGTATCTGGTGAAATGGGAATGGAGAGGGAAAATCCTAGTTCTTGTTAGAGTTGATAGGAGTTTCCATGTTGGTTGTGTGGGATCAGGATTGCACACAGTCTTTTAATGGCCTGGGGTCTCCCACCTACTTGTGGGTTCATCCCACAGCTGGTATTGTCACAGTCTATTCGTTGTAATTCTTGATGCCGTTCCAGTTGTTTTGCAACTGTTATGAACTGAAGAGTAAAAGAGAAATCTCTGGCAATGTCTTGTCCATTTAGATGGAAATGTCTTTAGGAACAAGGACTGCCTTTTACTGTTTGTTGCTATAGCGCCTAGCACAATAGGGGTCTGGGGCTTAGTTGGAATCAGTGCAGTATGCTCATCGTAGTGATAAATGTTCCTGAGGAGACAGAAAAATACAACAGCCACTTTGTAATGCACTCATGCACCATAAAGGAATAAAACAATTTAACATAGAATAGTCACATTATGTATGTGACATTAGGTATGCAAAGGCTTCTCACCCACTAAAGTAATCCTTCTTGTAGCACTGATGATCTTGCAGTAACCAAAATGATTTTACAGATCCCAAAGCTCTCTCTTACACATAAAGATAGCATGTTCCCATGCACTCTAGGGAAATACAGCTACAAGTGAGAAGAAACGCAGAAAATACCTGCAAGAGCTTAAGAAGATAAAAAAGCAGAAATTTGCCATTTAGCAATGCTTAATTAGAAAACTATGTTATTGAAAACAAAATTTATTTCTCAGGAAGCTCTGTGGGTCATCTCCGCAAGCTCACTAAACACAGGCAAATCTCTATTATTTGCTGCTCTGCTACGGATCTGTGATTCCAAGGCAACTTACAGGCTGCCTGCAGCTGGAACCTGAAGATCAAATACCTTGTAAGCACTTTTGGTTGATTTGGCAAATTTCTGATGTCTCTGGCTCATGTTGGGGCTTTTGCAGCATGGTCTCCCCTCTACGCTGTTAAAAATTGTTTAATTTTAGTAACTACTGTCCCAAACCGTAGCCTGTGGAGGTGGAAGCCTGGCACTTCAAGGAAAGTTTGACCAGTGGGAGCAACCGCAACACTGGGCACTGTTGGTATCAAGAATGCTGGTTAAGATGTGCCTGTACCTATTTATGAGCTTCCTAATCTAATTTACGTGATAAACAGACCCCAGGAGCCCTGAGGTTCTCAAATCTGTTGCATTCACAGTGGGATGTTTCAAAGGCTCATCCAGAATTTCTACAGTTTATTCCATTTGTTTCAGACAAAATAATCAGCAACAAAATAACATTTTTCAAATGTAAAAAAATTAAAAAAAAAAATTAAAAAAAATTTTAAAATCACCATTTTAATTACCTTTAGAAATTTTGAAAGTGTTCTGTGTTTTTAGTTTAACTTTGATTCAAAACAGAAATGTGGAACAGAGATCTTGAATGTAAGTGACATCAGCTCCACTGGGGGTAGCCCCCCACTCTGGCTTCTCAGGCCAGCTGCTTCACATGAGCTCCTAGCACCATTCCAAACTTGTTGTACTTGGAGTTTTACCACCTGAGGTGGTTTCAGTTGGTTTTTCTTAGGCTGCGATACCTGGCATGCCTGCAGAGGGAAGCTGATAATGGCTGGCAGTTAACTGTTGGTAGTTTATGGCTTATAGTGGAGCTGTTAAATTTTCTGTAACCTTCAGGGGAAAAAATGCTTTTTAAGTATAATTTCTCTGTTTTATAGTGTGAAGGTGTGACGAAGTGTATGCACACTGTGCTCAGTTATGATGTGTGTGTGGTACTAAGCTTTGTGACTCTTACAGCAAATTTCCCTTTGCATTCACAGCTAAAATCTTCCCTCATGACAGAAACAATGAAAACATTATGTAATTGTGTGTGGTGAAGATGCTTCCTACTACCTGTAAAAATGATTTGTACCTGTAAAAATGTTTGTTGCACCAGAGTTAACATTGAATGGTGCTGTGAATGTTGCTACATCTCCATGTAGGCAAGATAGAATGGCAAGCTGCATGTACAAGTCAATTGTAGGCATATTTACCTGGGGTTCTCCCATGGAGTGCCTTTGTACCAAGGCATGCTTTGGTCTGAAGTACCTGAGAAAACAAACAAATGTGGTAATCACATAGAAAAGAGTACTGAGTATTGAATACTCAACATTAGCCTTCTGGCTGCATTAGGACGGTTCCTATGTGGTGAAGTGTTTGCAGGATCAGGAGGTTTCCCCCTTTCCCCTTCCCCCCCCAACTGTTCTGCAAGAGTTATATTAATGAACAGTTAATCTGGGAATTATTCTAGCAGATTGTGTGCAGGGAGATCAAAAAAGAAATGGCACTGGTGGTTTTGTATAACGAGTGAGGTGTCAGTTCTGTGCACTGATCTGAGCACACTGATGTCTAACAAGAGGAAAGTTGTATGCTGGGGGAAAGAGAGGGGTGAAAAAAAAAGTTTGAGATGGTATTTGTTTAAAGCAAGAAATCAATCATGTGGCTTTTGTAAATGAGGATAAAACTACTCTCTCCAGCTGCATACAAATGGGAGAGCTTCTCAGACATTAAAATGGAACTGGGACTTTCAAGTACTTCACTCAACATGCAGAAAATGATACGGGATGTTGACAGCTTTTCTCCAAAAAGAAGACAGCTGTGGGGGTCCTTTTATTAGATTGCATAAAGAATCCTGAAGTGAAGTTTTCCCAAGTAAATAGGCAAATATTCAATAAAACAATCAAGTACTGTTTTTATTTTGCTGTTCAGTATGAAGTTTGTTACATTTCCAGCAAATAATACACAAAACCAGGACTGTGGGAAGTACTCACATATGACAAATGGTGATTGGTATAGAGATGTGCTGAGCTGGTAATGTCTGTGTTCTCCAGAGCCTGTGAATCATCTGACAGTGCCAGTAAGATGTTCAAGTAGAACAATATTTTCCTTTTCCATTTAGCAACTTCCTGCCTTCTGCCCTAGAAACAGGGCAGACAAATCTCCTTAAAATCAGAAATGACCCCCTGTGAAACCACAAATCCTGTCTGTTCCCATCCTCTTTCTATTTCCTTGTATGAACTATATATATTGCCCTTGTTCTTACACATGCACCCTAAGCAGTGAGCTGAATTCTGGATTCAAACAGAATTACATGCTAGCTTCTAGCTTACTTGAAACTGTGTTATCCCCATCTCTTCCTGGCTGACTCTGTCTCTGAAGGCAACTCTTTAAGGTGTAGAATCAAAATGACTGTCAGGGAAGAAGTTTGTCATAGGAACTGCCTCTTCCATGTTCCAGTTAGCCGCTAAAGAAAAAAACTTATTCTAAAGTAGTTCTATATCTTTTCATTTTCTGTTTGAGTCTTTTCCAGAGAGAAAAGAATAGTTTATTCTGTTGAAAGTGATAGCTGTACCTTTCATCAAGTATGATCCTTATATGACCACAAAACAGTTAATAGGTGAACAGACTGAGATACGATAGAACATCAGCAAAGAGATAAAGTATAAATCTGACAGGTGAAGCATGGAGATGAAGATCAGCCTAGCAGCTCTTAATTTTCATTTCCACTCAAACTTCAACAAAGATGAAGTACTGCTCCAAGAAGCAGCTGCACTTTTCTTGTGGTTTACTTGGCACAGACTCAAGAAGGGCCTTTGCCTTTCAGAGGAGGGATGCTTCTTCCAAAAACCTTCTATATTATCCATCTTGTTCTTTCCTATCTTAGTCAATTTCTGGAAATCAAGCATACCAGAGAATTCTTATTTGTCTTTCTGTTTGCTTGTAGAGCTACAATTAGGAGAGGTAACCCTTCTGGGTTGGCCTCCGACAAGTTATTCCACTTGCTTATTCTTTGTCTTCTGAAATACAGACGATTCTCTTTGCCACAAAGGCCAGCTGAAGATTATCCTGTTCTCCCTAACTGGTTGATTTTTGTTTCTTTATCTGTCAACATTTAATGAAGGGTTATTCCCTATCTTAATTTGCCAGTACCAATTCTTCATCATATCTCTCTTAACCTCTTCTGTCATGTTTACCCGAGGCCCAGACTTTGCCCTGTAGCTCAGCAAGGTGCAACCTGTTCCCTGACTTGCCTTTCTCATCTGTATCCCCAGAGCTAAAACCAAGAAGCTTTGGCCAATTGTTGCCACCTTATTGAATCTTATGCAGTATTTCTGCAGGGGTTTCAATGCTACCTGGGACTTTGCAGTGCTAGGATTGCATAAGTATGTCATGAAAATACTGAAAGAAAGGGGAATAGGTTGCAGTCAAGTTGCCAACAAACATTGAATAATGGAACTAGAAAAATGCTGAGAGTCACTTAAAGCTGGAAGCTTACATTAACATCTTTATTCTATAATTACATGGTATACTCAACGGTTCTTATTTTTGGCGAGTGTTGTGCAGTAAAGATGCATTAGAGTAATTATATTGTAATGACAGCTCATGAGTTAAAGGTGTTGTGGATCTTGTTAGTATACACATCTGAAATTGTTTGGAGCTGATTTGGGAGGTGTATCCACATGGAATTTGATAACACTGATATTGTAATTAAAGCTGAGGAGATGGGGTTTGTACTTATTTCCTACTGCTGCCTGTGAATATTAATTAGCTCATGTAATCACCTGACCCTAGCAATAATCAACTCTGTTAGTCAGAGCAGGAGGGAAAATGTTAATTGCCCACTAAATATTTATTGAGGAAGCTGAGATTAAAACAGCCCAGTTGTAATGGAGAACAGAGCAAAAAAGAACAGAATCCTTCCAGTCTCTTCCAGCATCTGCTTCATGGAGGACAAGGACACTTGCACCACGAAGAAGACAAAAAACACACCTGATTTGGCACACAAATGAGAATTATAGTCTAAAGAGATCTCAGGTTTCTGATGACAGCTGAGATGACTTTTTGTTGCTTGTATTCCTGCCAGCACAGGCTGTAAGGAGGAGAGGTGATCCCAAAAGGCAGAAAATGTAGATCTGAGCTGAAGGGCATTCCTAAGTCTGGACATCCTGGATATAAACTTATGTGACTGTTCCTGAGGGCTTCAGCATCACCCTCAGAAGAGGAAAATAGCACTTCATCACTTGCCAAGAGAAGGTATGTGGGGAAAATCTTGTCTCTTCTACCAGAGAAAGCCCTAAGAATTAAACTAAGTAAAACTGAAAAGCCTATCCTCAAGACAGAGTGCATAAGTAATAAGTGTATTTGCCTGGCAAAGCAATCCCTTTCACAGTTCAAACCAATGGTGTAGAGTGAGCTTTGGGGATACCAAGGAAAAAGGGGTTTCAGAGAGAGATTTGGATGCTTCCTTTTTAAAGATGGCAGTTTTTAAAGCCATTGAGAAAATGAAGACCTGTCTGTACCTGTAGCATAGTTTAGTAGCTCTGTTTGTCTCCCTTTTAGGTTCTGGTCTTGTTTGCTGCAGCAGCAGTCTTCCTAATGGTTTCCTGATAAAGCTCATTAGAGTGTTCAGATTTTTGTTCTTCTCAAACCTCCTTCAGCTCTTCCCATCACAATCCCCTCCCCAGTCACAAGGCTCTGATCACCTGTGGTATATAGCCTTCAGAGTCTGTGTGGAGGGGCAGACTGTGCTGGAAATGCGGTGCATACTGAATCGCTTCAGGGTTGGCTAGGCAGTAATTCTCAGAAGAGTTGGCAGAGCACGGTGCTGCTGTATGCTGGTGCCTTGCTGCTGCTCTGCTGGAGATCCGTGAGCAGCAACAGCACTGCAAGTCCTTTCTTCTTTCCTGACAGCACCGCAGTACCTGTATCTTAATCAGTCAGTGTCAGACAGTGTCACAGGCTCCGAATGCTTCTCTAAGCAAAGCACAGCACAAATACCTCCCTGCTGCTTGTAGCTTAGGTTACCATTACCAGACTAAGCTCCTGATATAACAGTTAAATGCTCCAGAGCAGCTGGCACATTGGTGCCAACACGTGTGCAGAGCAAGGCACCCCTCGGCCCCACACCAGAAGGTTTCTGTGCTCTCATGACTCGCACTGCAGCTGCCTCTCCAGTAGACAGGGAGACAGCACAGGTAGAGACAGAGCTGACAAAAGATTGCTGGTGTGGCTGATGCCATTTCAGTCATGTACATTATAAAGAATGAGGAAATCTTGTGTATCTTATATCAAAATACTATGTGCTTCTCAGGATATCTGATTTATAACTTTCCTGAATGGCATGGTTGAAATCAGAAAGGACCAAGGGGGAAACCTTTCCAAAATGAAACGGTGACATAAATAAGAGTTTCAAAGGAAGCAACTGAGTAGCTGACAATAGGTAATAATTGTGGCTCCATCAAAGTTAGGGTGGTTTACTGTTCCCAGCGGAGAATCTAGCATCAAAGGGAATCCTAAACCTGAAACACTTGGAAAGAAGTGAGTTATCAGCAATACAAGGTGAGTTCTGTAAAGAACAAAGAGAACATTTTGTGAGCAGGACAGCCTGCTCTGCCCCTACTCAGAGGCAGAGTGGTCTTCCCTGAGCACGCTGAGGTTAAGATTGGGCTTTTAGGTCTTTTGTTGTGTTTGCGTTTTCCTCAAGGCTTTGTACCATTGAGGTATGGGGAAATAGGGCTTTATTTTTCAAAGGGTCATTTAAATTGCATCTGTTCAGAGGATCTTGCCAGAGAAGTCTTCAAGTTCCCTAGGTTAGACCTCTTGTGTTAACAGAAGAATCTGCTGAACCTTGGTATCATAGGCATTGAATATTTACAGCAGTTTTATTGAAATTTTGGTGTTGAAATACTTTACTGAACAACAGCTAACAATCATAAATTTCAGTAACTTGAATTTTAGTTTGTCAATTATCTTTTGAGTGTTCTTCTGATGCTGTATAGCCACTTGTGTGTGGAAGAAAAATAACATTGCTTGGAGCTCTTGCCTACATTTAATTAACGTGGAAGTGCAGAGGGGTAACTTTACAGTAGGTGTTCCAATTTGGCTGGGTCAGTCTGTGTACTAATAGAACTATCTTCATGTGTAGAGGAAGGCAGGCAGGGTTTTACTTTTGTCTTTGATTTTCATTGACAATATTCCTTCCGCACCCTTTAGACCATAAGCATTCACCCGTTCCTGGGGCTGGGTTACAAGAGTGGCTCAATGTGGTATATCCTCTGCAGCATTAAAACCAATCGTACTCAGGTCTTTCTACTTGATGGTATAATAACAATTTTAAGATGTCTCTTTCCACACGTATTCACAAAAGGATGAAGAAATAGTGGTCTTTTTATTATATGCAAAAGGCTATCCACCCATCTGGGCTGTTGTCGAAATGAGACCTTGTTCAGAAACAAGATAATCAGTAAAAACAGTATGCTCAGTTTTCATCTTTGAAATCTTACACAGATTGTGAGTAATTTGGGAATGAGAGAGAAGACAAAAATGCTTGAAGACTGCATATTCAGAGGTCTCAGCTTTAGCAAAATGTTATGGCTTTAAGACTCTGCCTTATAATTCACTTCAGCTACCCCAGGAAGTAAAAAGACGGTGTTTCAGAGGCTGACTGCACAGGTCGTAACCTTCTATACACAATATATTGAGCAATTCCATCATTCTTGCATTGAAAGTGGATTTAGACTGACATAGCAGAATAGAAAAAATGCTTAATAAACTAGGAGTTTTATTACACACACACACACCATCTTGTAGGTATGCATTCAGCAAAGAATGGGTGTGACACTGTAATAGGTACACTAAAAAAGGCAGTCTGTTCATATTAATATCTGCATTCAACACACTGAGATTAAAAAAAAAACTGTTCTCACTTATTCTGTTATTTATCCTGATCAGCTTTCTGTTTGTTTAGAAAGCCTGTTATGCAAAGTGATAAATATGAAATTTAAGAGACAGAATTTTTTTATGAGTAGTGGTAGATGCTGTGCTCTGAGCCAGGTAAGGGATGGAGGAGGCACTGTCCTGGCAAGCATTGGTCTGCGTGCGTGTCCTCTGGTGAGGAGAGAAACTTTCCGTTGTGCTGCCCCTCCAGCTTCCTCAAGAGCAACCAGGGTGAGTGCTTCCAGGGGCCGACTCATCAGCCCACGTGCTGAATCAGCCCAAGAATTTTTAGCTACAGGAGAAAAATGGATCACACCAGAGGACTTTCTCCTTGAAGAGAACTTCAGCCTGTTCTAATCAGAGATGCAAATTACTGAGGTATTCTGGGCTTCTTTAACCATTCTCAGCATTTTATTGCAAAAAGAAATGGAAATGATGGTCACGCACTCTTCATCTTAGGCAAAATCATAGTTAACCCTTTGATGTAATTAAAATATGTGGGGAGGTCTCCTAGACTTTCATCTCCTGGATAAGAAAAGGAATAAAACCGTAGTAGACCCTAGGAGAAAGAGAAGCCTTCCAGCTGCCTCCTGCCCATTTCCAGGTGCCCACTTGAGCTGTAAGAGCTGTGGGCCAACTTCACCAACAGATCAGTCTCAACTTTTGAGACTCTTGGGCCCAGGTGACCCTCTAAAAATCAGGACCAAGGATAGGATGGTGAGTTTTAAATCCAGGGCTTTAAGGCCCTAACTGTTGATTAGAACATTGAACCATCCTTTCATTATAGAGAAGTTCCTCACCATAAGTAATTCTTCATTATCATCACTTGTTTGCTAATTGCTTTTGCTTTGCAGTCTGACTTTCATTATCATGTTGTATAACCACTGCTACCTTACTTTTCAACCATATGTTGTCAGTTGTACTTTTTCTTCTTGTCATTGCATTATTGTCATGCTCTAAGCTGTTTATGAGTTTTGAAATATGAAATTTTGGTCTTGCTCAGTTTTAAGCTAACCCTGCTGCTTAAATGAAGGAATATCACATTTGCCATACAGAGAGATTTATTTAAAAGCCAACTGTGAATTACACTGAGGAATCTGCAGTAAACCATGACAATAAATAATGAGAGAATGTTTGCCTGGAGGACTTGTCCCTAATGAGGTTTGGTCTTAAATAGGCATTCTGTTTGGAAATCAGATACCTTTTGTTTCTTGAGGTTTTCATGTTTCTCCCTATTAAGTAGGGTTTTCTGAGAGATTTTGTTAGTAATTGATCATGGGGTCAGTAATGGTTATGCTTCACAGGAAAATGTGTGACTATGAAAATACTTGGGGGGGTAATGGGGAGACAGAAGGGAAGTTATGTCCTATTTATGTGCAATTCCAATTTCTGATATTTATCTGCTTGTTTGTAACCTGAAAGTCTTATCAAGATAGCACAGTTTTGGAAGGAGGAAAACCCAACATTTCTTAAAATGAGATTATGTTCTTAAGTATAAAATATTATTATTAGGGTTCGTATTTCTACTCTGAAGTGCACCTCCTTATATTGTTACAGTCTTGTGTAGGAGCTGTTCTCAAATGATCTTTCCTCAATGACAGTAGTTCTCCCTCCCAAACTCTTTTTCTTTCTATGAGCCAACCTTGCTGTCTGATTGTTCACTTACACACAGGATCTATGCTCCTACAGAGTTACAGCAGCGACTTGGACGAAAATGTGTCCCAAGTATTCCAGAAGGTCAATCCTCCATTGCTTTGTAAGGTACACAAGAACAATTTTCCAGCACTGTATTTTGGACAACTCTATTATAGGAGAATACATGGAATCACAATGGAGGTATATATGGTGCATGCACAAAGAAAAGCTGTAGGAAACGATGCGTGATCTCTTTTGGAAGAGGTAGGTGCGGTTCTCCTAACTCTTTGTAACCCTTGGTGCTACATATCTTGAAACCGTACGTTAATTTCTGGTCTGTAAAAAGTAGTATGCATTTCCTTAAATCTTGGTACAGCAGCAAGAAATGCACTTTCTATTTGAGCACTGGAAAGCATGACAATGACCATCTAGAGACCTGGTGTCTCTCTCCAGTTCCTTAGGTCTGGAGACTTATTTGCTGAATGCTTCTTAGGTACCAGCAGGTGAGTGGATAGCCTGGTAATGGGATAGAAAGTTACCAGATCTTGAAATTCTCCTGTGCACAAATTCCCACCAATTAAAAGGTAACAGGAGTATATGGCAGGCCACAGTTACCAAAAAGCAACATGTTTGACAGATGGTTTTGGTTGGATCTTTCAGGCTAAATTAACTTCCACCCTGATTTCTAACAACTGTCTGGGATGAAGTCCTCCTCTGCTCATTAGCAGCTTGTTCCCATACTAGGCAGAACTCTCCTTAAAATAGAAGAAAGAGGGGAACAATATTATTGAACTCCTAAATTAAATAAGCTCTCACATGATCTAAAGCAACCCCACCATTACTTACTGCAGTGAGCAGCATGTCCTCAAGTTATAGAGAATGACAGTGGAAAAATCTTTCTCTTTACCTCAGCTGCACATCTGATAGCCCTGAGGCAGAAGACAGGTTTGAAAAGCATCTAACCCTTAGCTGTGCAGTGTCTGGCTATTCAGGTGGTGCATGGTTTGGCAGCCAAGTTAAAAAATTCAAGGACAAAAAAAAAAAAAAAAAATCATTACTCCTTTCCTCCTCACCTTTGGCAACATCTGCTTGAGTGACAAAGTGAAAGAGCAGTAGCTCTACACTCCAAAACCTAGTTTTGTTTCCGACCTGCATTCAGCATGCTTGGTAACTCTCTGCTTTGCACTGACCCAAATGTTTTGACCTCTCACACTGCACAGTACTACATAATGTAATACTCAAGCAAAAGATTGAAAGAGAATGCAGCAAGCTTAACATATCCCTCTGATTACTCAATAAGGGAGAGTTAGATTCTTTAAAAAAAAAAAAAAAAAAATTCAAAAAAAAATATCCCTGGTGGCCTCATTGTTTTCCAGGCATCTTTCTAGATAAATTTTTCCTATGGTAAAATCATTATGAAGTAGAAATACAGTCTCTCCAAGGGCTACCTTGAAAGCCTAGTCTAATATGAAGAGCTATAACACAGTAATGAATCCTGTAGGCAAAATAGGGCTTTATAAAGTGAAGAAATGGGAGAAAACTTTCCATTAGGAGAATGTTGTTTTTGACTGAACTGTATTTTGAGATGTTACAAAGCGAGGGTCTCTCAGAAGGCTGGAGCCCAAACTCTAAACTGAAAAACACTTGAACTTTGTGAAATGTGAGCTCTTACCTGCGTTGTATTTTGGAAAAAGTAAAGGTAGTGGTGAGTAATGCTGATGCTTGAATATCTCTGAAATTTAAATCTGGACCTAGTTTGAATTTTTGCCTCTTCATGGCAGCTGCAGCATTTTTCTGCTTTCATTGCTTCAGAGGCACAGTGCATCTTCTGAGATAAAATAGGCTGTGAGTATTTTACTGCTACAAAGGAAGAATGTCCCTTTCCAGTCCCCTACAGCTGCATCAGGGCCTCTGATTGGTGGCAAAATAACAAGTATACTTCCACCAGAGAAGCATAAAGGGAATCCAGGCTCATATGCCCTCACAGATTTCTCTGAGAACACTTGGTAATTTTTTATATGTAAGGATAGCACAAAGACAAGCCCCTCCTGAAAGAAATCTTGAAACCAGACAATGAGGTAAAAAGGGAGTGAGTAAAAACTAATTCTTAGTCAAAAAAGCAAATTTCTTTTTGAGAGCAAGACAGAACAGGTAGCGAAGTTAGAGATTCAGTGAGTTTAGCAAGTTACAGAAGTATATACACAGTACTGGAAATTGCAGACACCTGGAAAAGAGATTCTTTATTTTCTCAGTTGTAACCATTTGTAAGATGGATTTGAAGCTAACAGTGCAGCTTACTCTCCTATAAGATAATGCGTAACTTGGAACAGCTACAACAAAACTCAGAAAGCACACTGATCAAGTTGGACTGAGTCTTATAGAAATCAAACTATAAAAATAGGGCTTTCTAAATCTTTATAATATAATCTTTATATTTTAATCAACTAAAAATAAACTATGAATTCCCCATTTAGTTTTAATTAGATCTCTGTGTGTAATGGAAAATTTTGGATGTTTGAAATTGCAGCATTTCTACTACCTACAAAGAGATTGTAACATGATTCAGTGCCTTAACAACAAATATATAAAACAACTCATAACAACTGTACTTCAGAATTGTACCTAATTTCTTTCCAGCCAAGCAATAATTTCTGAGAATGAACCTATTCAAGTAGTAAAATTATACAGGATGAATGTCAAAGATCATCTCTGGTCATTCATTTGCAGTTACTGTAGCAGAAGTGGGTTTTGTGGCTTAGTTTGTTTTTGTTCCTTTTTATTTTTTTCTTTGCTTGTTGGCTTTATTTAATGTCTGAAAGTGCCACATGGTGCCCTGCTGTCCAGGTGTCAGGTTTAAAGTTTTTTTTTTTGTTTTTTTTTTTTAATTTATTATTGGCTGAAGAGGTTGGTGGCACCAACACCACACAAAACCTTTTATGACTTTATTTGTTGCTGGTGGTATTTGGTATTGTTTGTTGTTTTGTTTGTTTGTAAGCTATGCCTATGAAAAGCTCTGATTCTGTGCTTCCAGAATGCCTGTAGAAAGCTTTGTGACTGCTTTGCATCAAATTTTATTTTCTCATAGGTGATGGTGTTTTTCTTTGGGCAGGGCACAACCACACAGATAGCATACTAAGGTGAGCCTGGGGTAAGTACACCAAGAGTTGACATTTGTCACCTGCTGCTACCACGAGGCAAAAAATGGCATTCACGAGGCAGTGGTGAGAGCATAAGCTTGTACTTAAACAAAGCATTTTCTGAAGATGTATGCAATTTTCTGTTGTGGTGGCTTCTTTCAATAGCCTCTTCTTGTCATCATGCTGCTAAGCTTGTAGTAAACACTGTCACCCCTTTTGTAACATTTTATAAACTCCTTTCCACTTCAGCATTAAGAAACTCAGCTCTACTCTCTCCAGGTATTCCCAGTTGCTTCATAATGTCTCTCGTCATTCTCCTGTAATGGTAAGAAACTGTTCATTACTTCAGATCAAACTGTGCCTTTTAGGCTGGTTATAGCACTGTGAATGGTACTCCAGTGGCTTATTTGATTGATGAGTTGTAATAACTGCTTTTGGATGCCTTTGTTGTGACAATAGTTTTTCAGCTTCATCCATGTATAATAAATAGCCTAACAAACACATTATTTCATTTCTTTATTAAGTCATTAATTACACTGCACATTCTTTAACTGCATCAGAAGAGTTTCTGGATAAAACCAACTTACTGTCATCATTATTGAGTGCACTACTCTTACATGGACTACCTGGAAGTAAATCTACATGTAATAGAACATGCCCAACACCACCATAGTCTTTTACTTAACACTTATAGTCAAATCACATTTTATCTAACCTGGAACCATCTGTTTTGGTTATAGAAAGATCAAAAATTCTTTTAAATGCCTTTGTCATGGATTAAGAGAGAACATACAGGCCACAAGTAGAAGTAACCGAAACACTGTATTTCTGTAAAAATGGATGAACCCCAGAATTTTCCTGAGTTTCAATCAGTTTTAACAAAGAGAAAACATAGAGAATACAGACAGTACAAACACAGGACAGCTTTTATATTTAAACACATGCCATTCAGCTAGTCAAAAAATTATTCAGACACCACCATTTCAAAGGCGTATTACTGACATATGGTGTCTGACATGTTTCCACAACTGAGTACACAGGCTTTGATGACAACCATGAAAATCACATCTTTCCATGTGAGCAGTTATCAGAGAAACAGGCAAATGAAGACTTAGCTTGGGGTTTTATACTCTTACCGATTCTAAAGGACTGCAAGAACCAAGGTAAGTCTTCTGGCTTTTCAAAACATAGGCGTCCTTTGCTTCAACCATTCCATACCCTGTTCCACACCTCACAATGGGACCCCACAAACAGCAGAGCATAACTGCTGCTGCTATTGAGCTGTTCTCCCAGAGGCAGCAAACAGACTCAATTAGACACAACAGGCTATTCCCAGGGCTAGTCTCCAAACTGACAGTTTGAGATCCTTGGCATATGGCTTGCGGTTTCATGGTGTATAGAAGGTTACTATTTTGTTATAGGAAAACTAGGTATTAAAGCCTCTTGTGGCACTGAGTCAGGTTAAGACAGGGCTAGATACTCAAGTATTCTAGCCCTGTCAGGACTTAAAGATATCTTAGTGGAAAAAGGCTTCTGGCTTTGCAGGCCAGAATCTCAAGTACCATATAAGAGGTTGACAAAAAATCCCTCACCACTCTAACTCATATGTGGGCTTAGAAGGGGTAATTGAGATTTTTGCTTTAGCCTTCACTGCCCAAATTTTGTTTACATTCTCAAGGGAGCAGTTGCTCAGCTCAGAGCCTATCAGAGCAACAGTAAAATAAGCAAAGGCAATACTGAAATTTACACAGACACAAAGTTAGGAAGGCCAGGCTGTTGACAGAATGCTGTGCCATCATATATAAATAAACAAACAATTCATTTATAAAAAACTAAACATCTGCACAAAACTAAATTAGCACAACTGAACTCCCTTCTCCCACTACTTAATTCGCTTGTCCTAAATAAGTATTTTTCTCTATTAAATAGTAACATACTTCTCCACTGGGATGTGCCAGAGTCTAGCAGTTCATTCATCATTTTAGGCCTCAAACGCCAGTCAGCTGAGGAGTGTTTCCCTAGGACTACACTAAATTAGGAACATTTCCAAAGCATTATTCTTTCTCTGGCCCTTTTCAGAGTCTATTCCAGTACCCTTGCTGGTCCCACTGATGCCTGGACAAGGCTTTCAGCTCATAGCTGGCTCATATCCCACCACACTGCAGCACAGCAAGCAAGCTGTCCTCCCTCTGTAGGGACAAACAGACAGTTGCTCAGCTCGAGATGCTGAAACACACACACTGGCATTCAGTGTAAAAATGTCAACTCTTGCAATCAAACCTGCAATTCACTTTGTGTTTTCTGTACTTGAAGTCCCAAGCTTTCTCTTTTTAAATAAAAATACTGTTAGCATACATAGAATTTCCATGGTTTATTTTATCAGCCTGTATTCTCCCTGGTGTAAAAAAAAGAAAGAAAAAAGGGCCGTATATTTTCTTTTAGTCACCAGTTGGTCCTCCTTTAAGGACCTTGTAAGACATTTTTTTGTGTATTGTTTCTCTGCATATGTGGGCAGCTTTACTACTTCATCCCCCTCAGGACCACTTAACAACATCAGCAAAGCAATTAAGTGTAGTTTTCAGGAAAATGCCAGAGGCATTACACTGTCTGGATGGGAGTCTCAACCCAATTATTTTCAGCTAGTTGTGAACTGTGGAAAGTGGACTTTACTTCATTATAACTTCAGTTCCCACTGATTAAAAGTCTAGTGTGTTACAGACAGTAAGGAAAAATGAAAACAATTAAACTTTCCGTCAATAAAATGGCTGCATATTCTTCAACATAGGAGTTTACTTCTCTCTAGAGAAGTGATTAAAATGAACTGATTGAACTATAATTTGATTGACTGAAGAGCCTCAATCCATTGCACTAAAGCTTAAATTCCATCTTATTGCTCTATTTAACTCTGAATATAAAAAAAAAATTACTTGCAGTGTCACAAACCTCTTACACAGTCATCCAGTTGAAATTTCTTACTACTCACAGGCTGCGGTAGATTCTGTTCCTTCTCTGCATGATTCACAATAGACTGCTGCTGAAAAGTGACAAAGACCCTTAAGAAATGACATTAATATAGCTTTAAAATCTTCGTCTTGTACATATCACATAATCGTCATTTGGGGATTCTAAACTCAACCACAGATCGAGTTGACCTAAGACAATGAAAAAGAATGATGTTCAGGTTATCTACAGCTGTTGCAGCAAGAAAATAATCTCCTCATGAAAACCACAGCCCTGAGGAAGCCTCCTACCACAGATCTGCCTTCAGCAAGGTGTAAGGTTGTCAGATGCACAGGTTTGTTTGCATACATACACATTCCTTCAAGGAGATACTAAAGAAAGAGGCACATTTAGCCTGGTTTCAGTGGTAAGTTGTGCTGGCTAAGAATCAAGATGCCTAGGATTCTCAGGCAAAGATCATTTTCTTTGGACTCGGGGCAAATTTCTACAGTGTTTATTCTACAAGACTATCATCTCTACAGCTGAGTAACTGTTCTGCCAAATTCTGGGACTCCTGTTGCACTAACAAAAGCTAGTCAAGAAACATTAAGGCATGCATGCTTTCACTGACAAGCTACTATGATATAGAAAATACCCAACTTAGCATTCACCACTCTGAAAATTTAACTGAAATGGCATTCCCCTTTAGAAGGTTGCCACTCTGTTGGTTGACATTTTATTTCTTTAGTTCATATTTTGAATTAAAACACAGCATTTGAAATACAGCTATACTGCAGTAAAATTGAATTGGAATATATTATAGCTTTAAATTAAATTATGTTGGTAATTAAGTGAATGAGGCTGGGTAGGAAGAGCAAATAAAGATGGGCAGCAAGCACTGGGCTAAATTCTTACATGCTTCCTTTCACAGGCAGCTCAAACTCCAAAGGAAGTCAGTAGATACTTTTGTATTACCATCAGCATGAACTGGGACACTGATCCTTGAGCTGTAGTACTTTGTTACTGAGCTCAGTCTGCTGTAGAGCTTTACTCTTCTGGCTGTGACTGACCTATAACGCTAGCTTCACAAGGAAGCCATAGCTCTAACACAAACAGTTCAAACCCTTAGATTCTGCCAATCCCAGCCTTACAGGGATTTCTGACCACACTCAAGAGTTACTAATTCACTATACTGTTTGGTTTTATTATGCATAGTTCATACCACAGACATGAAATTCTCCAAGTTTGTTAGCCAAAAGCTAGCAAGACTGCACTGGAGTCACTAAGGGAATATTGCTGCACTAAGGTAAAATGCTGCCTCTGCCATTGAAGGTCCACTTTTGACAAATTACATAACTCTTAATAGCTACCTTGCATTACTGGCCTTTTCTTTTGTTTCTCCCTTCATTCTGATTACCAAATGCTATGTCATTCTCTACTCCACCTCAACATCTGTAACTTTGAATGACAGATACACAATAACAGGAAAGGAGACAAGGGAAATGCTCAACCACAAATTCCAGGGTGTCTATGGAGACTGCAGGATATTTGCTACATTCCCTGTTCCCAGTTTTAGGCTACACACACCAGAAGCACATAGGGCACCAAACAACCTAAATGCCTATTTGAACCTTTCAGTTCTTACATAGACAGATACACTCACATTTTACAAACCCACCTTTATCTGCATAACAGCTGCATAAGAAAGAGCTGTGTTTGAAGTCATTTATTCTCTTGCAGAACAAGAAACATTTTTGACAGCAAAAAGACAAGCCCCAAGCGTGAAAGTAGCCTCAAGTCTTCTCTTTTTCTGAAATTGGAAAGTGGCATTTATTTGTCTTTCATAGTGCTCCTACAGCCATGGTAGCAAACAGCACATGGGCAGGGTTTCTTACCATGCTGACAGAATGGTCATGAGTAAGCTGAGCAGCATGCAAACAACGTCAAGATGAGGGCAGGACAGGGCCTTCTTTCAAGTCCAACCTGTGAGAGGCAGATGAAGGATGAAGAGGCATTTCCTGACTCAAGCAATTGCTTAATATATCCCCCTCCCTGAAAAGCATCATCAACTGCATGGTTAGGAACTTGCCAACACTTCCACCAAACTACACTGGACAGCAGTAGAGAAAAAAAAAAAGATTCAAGTGGGTTTGAAACACTTCCTGCATGCAGGATCAGCATTTTCTCTTTTCAATATCAAGTTGATTTCAAATACCTGTAATTATGAAAACATATTAAAATGTATTAGCCAGTAGATTTATGTTTGAAAGATGCCATTTTAATTAGAGAGGCCACAATTCTCAGTTTTTGAGCAAATGTGATTACTGCAATTTCTTCATTGAATTATAGCTTTGCTACTTAAGAAAACATTATTTAAAGCGCAGTGTTAGCCACCTACACCACACTGATGAAAATCTCAGCAAAACATAAAGAAACACTTGAATAAACTCTTCCTAGCAACCAAGGTCTTTCATCAGAAAAGCAGCATATTTTATTTGTTGATTTGTGGTGGTGTTTTTTTTCTTCCTTGAACATTATATTTTTCTAGCTTGCACTCCCTCAGCTAATTCATCAAATCCCTGGAATATACTTTTCAGTGAAAATGTAAGCCATTGACAAAGCCACCTTACTGTTCATATGCTAAAAAAAAATTAACTGAACTTTTTTCCCCAAAATCCATATTCAAATGCTTGTGTCATCACTATTTATGTGTCGCATTGTGGCAGTGAGGCCACATTCTCAGAATTCTGAGCATCCCTGACTTCCGCTAACAGAAATACCAGGAGGTTAATTTTCATTACTAATCTTCTTCACATACACTGACCTGCTGTATTACTTCCTAAAATTAACAGCAGTATTTTAAGTAATGCTGAATTTCTACAATTCTGACTGAGTAGAACATAGAGATATAAAATACTTACCTGAATATTGGTCTGTCTTTTCAGGCTGGAACAACTTTGATGTTGTTACTCGAGAAATGGTTATTTTGGATCTCCTCAGTACTTCATAGAATGCTGGAGATCCAATTTAAAAAAAAAAAAAAAAAAAACCCAGACCTGTTAAGTTAATAATTAAGTAAAAATGAGTGCACTTTGATAAAGAAAAACAAAGACTGCCATTTTGAATAGGTTTTTCCCAACAGACAGTACCATTTCTTCCATGATGTACCACCTCTTTTCTCCTATGAAAAGAACTGTTTTTAGGAGAATTTTCTGCTTCTGTATATGCCTTCTTTTCTTACCTAAGGGTTTTTACTCCTATATTTCTTTCTTTCTTGTAGGAGGCAGACCAATGGTTTTGTCACTAACTCTTCAAGAAAATCAGAGGAGCGAAATGGGAAATCTGTCTTCCATGGAAAAGAGGAAAGATGCTAAGGGACAGGATGCATCCTCCTTGACATAATGTGGTCAAAGAGCCAGCTTCCTCGCTTCTCCCTAAAGAGCTCTCAGACAACTGTCTAGAAAAGCGCACAGTGTCCCCAGCTGTTAACAGCAGGATATACTGCAGCTCTCTAGACTGCTGCTGCCATGTCGTTTCTGCGCCTCCAGGGTCAGCTTAGTGTATTAAATTAACAGTTTCCCAGGCAAGGCAAAATGTCTGTGAGCAGAATGGTGCAGCATAATAATGGGATACGAGGGGAAGACACCTCCTGAAGTATTAGATGTTTTGGTAAGAGCAGGAAACATTGAAGTGATTCTGACTTACATGGCTTAGTGCCAAACAACACGTTATCATGCAGAAGTCCCAGCACACTGTGCGTCTGTTTACCACCACTTAACATTTTCATAGCGCATTTTAGAATTGTTGCTTTTTTTTTTCCACCCTTAATAATTTATGAGCTTAGAAGTATCAATAACGTGAAGCTTCATTACAAGCTATCTGGAGGATTCTCATCTGACTCGTCCCATTAAATTATTATTCTCAAACATGATTTATATTTGATAAGACATCAACTGGACATCAATAAAATAATAATTAATGAACTATATCTTCATGGAAGTACTGAGCTTAAATACACAAGCAAATGCAGTGTGCAGTCTGCAGGTCAGCTGTCAGATCTCTCTGAGGATATTTGTCTGTTTAGTATCTAGAATATGATAATAAACCACAAAAATATTTAATTGCTATGGTCATTGGCTAGTTGTTGTGACAGCTGTGAACTACGCCAAACTACTAACCTAAGGCAGAATTGGGAAGTAACAATGTGTTCAATGTAGGTGAGAAGGTAATCTCAAAACAGTACAAATGCTGAAGGGACTTCACGTTTCCACAAAATGAAACGTTGAAAGAATTTTGGTTTGGGTAACTATCTGTTTGGTTTTTTTTTTCCTTAACATTACCTATCGGATTGAAATGCTCTATTTCTCCATACAGAAAGTTAAAATAAAGAATTTTAATGACTGAAACTTCTGCCTAAAAAACAAACAAACAACAAAAAAACCCACCACATTAAAATAGCTTAACATTCAACAATGTTGTTTGGGTCTTCTGTTCCAACAAACTATCACTCCAAAGGACAAGCTTGACCAAATATTTGTATTCAGAAAGAAGTGACGTTACTTCATTCCAGGGAATTTCAGTGAAGGCCCTTAATCCTATTGCACCTCACAGCTTTGCAGTAGTGTTTATCACTAATCAGGGACCACTTCTGTTTACATTTCCTCAACATACACAGATCCCACATGAATCTTAATGGAGGATGAGAAAGAACAGGAGTAAAAGTTTTTCTGGATTTTTTTCTTAATTTCTAGGGTTTATTTCTTGCTTTCCCTTACTGTTCAAATTTCATCAGGGACTGAACAAGAGCTTTAGATGGACAAGGTGACCACGTTGTCAGTATCACACTTACCTTCGTCCCAGTTCATTAAGAAGCATTTAGCCCCTGCTCCCTCAGACCCTTACTCATGTAGGATTTACACAAGGGCTTTAATTGCAGATCTCTGGAAGAAAGCCAGAAGACATTACCATCCTTCAGTGACAGCTTGATTTTTTTTTTTAAATATTCATTGAATCTCCTTTTCATCCACGACATGTGTCTTTTTTAGATGCTCATGTCCACTATTTGGCTTCTCCATTACACAGTCAAGGATTATAAGGGCAGCTGTCCTCTGGTATAAAACAAAAGGACATGAACATATCATGGTCCCATTTAAAACCTTAATGTCCCTTGAGCTTGAGATGTTTACAGCTCTACAGAGATGTGCTATTCAAACCCCAGCATAGAGAGGTTTCAGTTTAACTTTCCTAAAACATTAAGAGCTGAAGGAACTGTAAAAACATTCTGGTCTGACCTCCTACATCACGTTTTTTCTCAGTCACTCCCACCTTAACTCCCATTATATGCCTGAGTCAAACCCATCTTCCTGAAAGGCTTGTATCTTATTCTGTAAATAAAAATAAAAAAAAAAAAAAAAAAAAAAAACTATTTTACCACCACATTATTACCTCACACTCCAAAGTACAATTGAGAAGCCCAATCGAGCTTCTTGGTTTGTCACTCCCACCGCCAGCCAATGATTTTTACTTTTCTCTGCCGCTCCGTGGTTTGGCATTCCCTAATTTGGTCCCTTGAGGGAGCAAGACACATCGGAGGTCGTAGCATTTCTACCATCCAGAAACACGCGAGCAATAGCACGCACACACATACGTCTCCAGCATGTCTTCTTACCTTGGAGGACTCATCAGAATCCAAAACCAAGTACACCTGCTGTGTTCTCTTCCTCCTGAACACATCCAAGTCCATTCCTTTCTGAGATGCCCTCTCAGGGAAATGCTGAAAAGTTTAATGTGGAAAGAATGTGCTCGTAGCTTTGAGACAGCTCTATTTTTAAAGCAACCAGCTTACCACATATTCCAGTTTCTCCCACTTAACCAGACAAGTTTTAAAATAATTTCTCTTTTTTAAACACATCCACTCCGGACTAGTTTCACCACCTCATTCAATCAAAATACTCGCTAATTTTAATGGATATTTTTCTTGAGTAAGAAATAATATAATCTTTGATTTCCGAGCCTTCTTTACAATGGATTCTGTGAAAGTCAAAACAAATAGCATACAGCAATTCACCTTTAGGTAGTGCAAAAACAGTCCCCAGAGTGATAGCTTTTAGTTCATCTCCAGTGAGAGCTGTATAAGCTGTAAGCTCTTCTATAAACACACCAATGAATAACAATCAGTCTCTTACTCCTCTCAGTCTCTCGTGTGACAGACCCTTAATTATGGCTATTAGATTATTACTTTCTCCAGAGAATTCTGTAAGGCAAAAGCAGTGTTCTTCTCCAGACATCAAAGACAGAATTAAGACCCTGCTTCGGAACACTCCTCAGAAACAGCTGCTGTTCATTCCCACTAAGGAATGCCCTGTTTGAGACAAAGGGCACAGCTGCAGCTTGCTGCCTCCTACTCTGTATGAGGCAAAAACTGATACTCTGCTTTGAAGGGAGAGATGCCCACCTAAAACACAAGGAAGCCCACCTCCTGCTAAGCTCTGGAAAATTATTCAGATTTCTGTTATCTTAGCCAGACCTCTGTATCCTGCAAAGATCACCCATTCTCAATAAGCTCTGGACCAGCAAGGCTTACGACACAACAGCACAAAAGCAGGACCACAAATTATGACTTTGTAGCAGAGAAAAGGGAATAGAAACCACCCACCTAAGGCACTGCACCACCAGCATCTATTAGTGCACATATCTTCTTTTTACGTGAAATACTTACTGCCTTCCTTCGGGGATAGCTCTGCATGCTCCCACAGTCAACTAGGAAGAACGTCTGACCCCAAGGAGAGAACAACGGGACAGAATCAAGACTCAGGCTGGCACCACACAAACAGATGATTCCTGAACACTTTATATGTAGGTAACACGAATCAATTCTTGAATAGTAATTACTAGAAAATTAAAGTAACTGCCTCTCAGGAGAATTACTGGTTAATACTATTATCTTCTGTGGGCACAGCAGATGAGAATGTATGTTATGATAACCTATGTGGTTTAGGCTCATTTTGGAATACTGTAGCAACTTATTGCTAGCCAACATCTTACAAGAGCACCAACATAAAAAGTAATGTGTGGCAATTTATCAGTTCTTAATAAAACACTGTGCTTAGAAGTTCAACTGTTGAAGCTGCTCTTGATTTTGATTCAGCTGATTTTTGTCTGGGCTCAGCACTATCACTTATCCCTGTTTTTTTCCTGGCTCCTCTAGGATTTGACAGTTCCAAATTCTTACTTGATTGGACTTAAAAATAAATACTTGGAGCTGTCTCATGGGCTAGGGTGTTCGAAGGCAAGGGGGCCTGTGAGAGCTGGTTGGCATTTAAGCAGCTCTTCTTCCAAGCTCAGGATCAGTGCGTCCCTGTGAGGAAGAAATCGGGAAGGGGTGGCAGGAGACCTGTGTGGATGAGCAAGGAGCTCGTGCACAAACTCAAAGAAAAGAAGAAGGCCCATGAAATGTGGAAAAAGGGTCTGACTACTTGGGAAGAATACAGGAATGTTGTCAGGGTCTGCAGGGATGCAACAAGGAAGGCTAAAGCCTGCCTAGAATTAAATCTGGCAAAGGGGATAAAGGATAATAAAAAAGGTTTTTTCAAGTACATTAACAGTAAAAGGAAGACTAGGGAGAATGTGGCTCCCCTGCTAAGTGACGGAGGTGTTCTGGTAACGGGGGATGCTGAGAAGGCGGAGATACTGAATGCCTTCTTTGCTTCTGTTTTCAATGAAAAAGCTCCCCCTCGGGAATCTGAGACCCTGGAGGTTAGTGAGAGGATCTGGGGAATGGAAGACCTCCCTTCTGTCAGGGAAGAGGTGGTTCAGGAGCGCCTAGGCAACACTAATGTTCACAAATCCATGGGACCCGATGGGATTCATCCACGGGTGCTGAGGGAGCTGGCAGAGCTGATTGCTGAACCGCTTTCTGTCATCTTTGAGAAGTCTTGGAGAACGGGGGAGGTGCCTGAAGACTGGAAGATAGCCAACGTCAGCCCGGTCTTCAAAAAAGGCAAGAAGGAAGACCCAGGCAATTATAGGCCAGTCAGCCTCACCTCTGTCCCTGGAAAGGTGATGGAACAGCTTGTATTGGATGTCATCTCCAGACAACTGGAAGAAGAGGAGGTTATCAGGAGTAGTCAGCACGGGTTCACAAGGGGGAGGTCGTGCTTGACCAACCTGGTAGCCTTCTATGATGTTGTCTCTGGCTGGGTGGATAGGGGGAGAGCAGTTGATGTAGTCTACCTTGATTTCAGCAAGGCATTTGATACTGTCCCCCACGACATCCTTATAACAAAGCTGAGGAAGTGTGGGATAGATGAGTGGACAGTGAGGTGGGTTGAGAACTGGCTGACTGACAGAGCACAGAGGGTTGCAGAGTCTGGTTGGAGGCCTGTAAGCAGTGGTGTTCCTCAGGGGTCTGTGCTGGGTCCGGTCTTGTTCAACATCTTCATCAATGACCTTGATGAGGGGATAATGGCCACCCTCAGCAAGTTTGCTGATGATACAAAGTTGGGAGGATTGGCTGACACGCCTGAAGGCTGTGCTGCCATTCAGCAAGACCTGGACAGGCTGGAGAGCTGGGCAGAAAAAAACCAGATGAGGTTTAACAAAAGCAAGTGTAGAGTCTTGCATCTGGGGAGGAATAATTCCATGCACCAATACAGGTTGGGGGATGACCTGCTGGAGGGGAGCCCTGCGGAAAGGGACCTGGGCGTCCTGGTGGATGACAGGTTGGCCATGAGCCAGCAGTGTGCCCTTGTAGCCAAAAAGGCCAATGGCTTACTGGGGGGCATTAGAAAGAGCGTGTCCAGCAGGTCGAAGGAGGTGATCCTCCCCCTCTACTCTGCCCTGGTAAGACCTCATCTGGAGTACTGTGTCCAGTTTTGGGCTCCCCAGTACAAAAAAGACAAGGATCTCTTGGAAAGAGTCCAGCGGAGGGCCACGAAGATGGTGAAGGGCCTGGAGCATCTCTCCTATGAGGAAAGGCTGAGTGATCTGGGTCTGTTCAGCCTTGAGAAAAGGAGACTGAGAGGGGACCTGATCCAGGTCTATAAATATCTAAGGTGTGGGGGGCAGAATGGCGAGGCCAGACTGTTTTCAGTGGTGAGTGGAGACAGGACAAGGGGAAACGGCTGGAAACTGCAGCATAGGAAGTTCTGCACAAATATGCGCAAGAACTTCTTTACAGTGAGGTGATGGAGCACTGGAACAGGCTGCCCAGGGAGGTGGTGGAGTCTCCTTCTCTGGAGATGTTCAAGACCTGCCTGGATGCCGACCTGTGCGACCTGCTGTAGGGAACCTGCTTTGGCAGGGGGGTTGGACTCGATGATCTCTGGAGGTCCCTTCCAACCCCTACAATTCTGTGATTCTGTGAAAAATAGGGAGCTGCTTATGCAGCACTGCCCCTATCTCTCCCCAGCCTGTGTGTGAAATTAACATTGGTTCAAAATGCTGGAAATGCAAATTTGCACATTAAGAGCATGGGTTCCAGGGTGAACATCACACTACCTGTGAATTCCACAACCTAAATGCATACTGTCACTTAATTAAGTGAAATCCAGGTAGCCTGTATGTGCCAAGCAGGTAAAGTATTTTCACATGAAACATCAGTAAAGGTAAGTTCTTTCAGAGTTGCACAGACACATGGCTACTAAGCAAAATATAAGTACATTTAAAATGACTGCCAAAAATTGAACTGGTTCCATGCCTATACAATTGTAATTACTTAGGTGCTTCTACAGCACAACTGCATTTGAAGCAGAATATATCACACATCACAACTGTCAAGAACTGTCATAAGCCATTATGATAAACAAAGACGTGATCCTCAGTTACACACAATAGGTAACACTTCTGTGTGAATGCTTCTCTGTCCAAATATCTCTTGCTTGCATGCATCAAATACTCTGTGAGATACATCCCTCAGCTGTGGGAGCTCAGCACCTTTCCACCAATTTAAGTCAACTAATTTGGATTGCTAAAGATAACTCATGTCATTCTGAGCTCTCAAAAGTGTTGTGAAATGGGACATTTAAACTATTTACCATAATTCTTGCTGCAGTTTAAAAGCTGCACAATATTTCTGATGAAGCTTTGTGATTCCAGAAATCCACTGTCTAAATGAAGGTCTGCTAGGAAAAGAAAAAATAGCCGATTTGTCACAAAAATCAATCTTCCACTGCCCAATTCCATTCTTAATGAATGAGACAATTCAGAAACCTATGGGAACACGCTTTATTGATTCATTCACAAGTCAGTAAAACCCACTGCCTGGGCTCCCTCCAATAAGACAAACCGCACAGAGCTTCAAGTGTACTGAATTGCAGGAAAAGCCAATGACTCCACATCTGTTCTGCTGGAAGTCCAGTGAGACTAAACATAGCCAATAAATCTAAAGGAGCACACCACTAGGTTAATGATAAATGTGTGGAGAAGACAAAGAGACTTGCATTTCCTCTTTATTATCCCTTCAGTTGAGCCACTGCCTTATCTGTAATTTATTTACCCAGGACAGTTGGGCCCAGATGCATACCTGTTTTTTTTACTGAAGTACTTGTTTTTCTCCATTTTGCAGATGGATTAAGTAAGCCAGGAGGAGGCCAACCTACATGTGTGAGGTCACACAGAGAACTGTAATCTACACTGCAGTAGATGCCTGAATCCATTCAAGTTCAAGACCTAATTTGGCATAAAGCTAGCGTGTAGCTGTACTGCACTGTATATTTTATAAACATATCTTTCAATAATCTCCTGTGCTTCTCATGAAAGCAATAACAAGCAGTAAGAACAGCTGAGTCTGTATTGGGCAAGCTTTCCTATTAAATTCCAGCAATACATCTCAGCTGTGACCTGTAGCAATTTGGGTAACCTAATAAGGCTGACTGTCCCATAAGAATCAGGGATGATACACTGTCTACCCGCAAGATATGAGGAAGTACAAGAGAGCAACTTTACAGCAAGGATCACCTAGCAGAGCAAAAGTGAACCTAAAGAATAGGTCTAAGAAAACACAATAAGAGAAAACACATTACTGAGAACAGAAAATTTGTTTATGTAGTCTGATAGACACCACCATTTCAACATTCATTTCCAGCTCAAAACATCACATCTGCATGTCCTGTTTAATGGAGTAATGGAGTAAACTGAGACTTCATACAGGGCTTTCTGGGAACTATAGTTAGTACAATTATTCCAGTACATGTTACCTGAAGTTAGGCATTTTGTCAGACTCCCCACCTTTTGCTAGAAATCCAAACGGTCTTCTGTCGTACGATGCAATAGCATTCAAAGAACTCCTCTAAAAATCATTCTCATATATTTGCTTCCTTTACGTGTGCATTTAGTAAGTGTGCGCAGGTCCAGTCAGGCATATATTATCTCTACCTCAAAACTCACCTGTTCAGCCGTATTATGATTTCCCTCCCCTAGTGGTTCTAGTACAAACTTGCCTACAGAATGGCCTCTCTGCTCTCGTATCTGCTGGATAAAAAAAAGCAACAAGCAATTTAGCAGAGGACAGAAGAATTAAACAATTTTTATGCACTTCAATGTTCCCCCTAATTCTAAAAATCAATCAAAAACTTCAACATAAAATTCACTTTTCCTTTAGAAATGTCTCTCAGCAGGGTGGTGCTCATAGTCGCATTGTCACTGTGTGTTCAAAGCCATCAGTGTTCAGTGTGCTAAGAAGCAACACTGAATTCTGCAGTCAGAGCTACAAAGTTTCAGAAGATTTCAGAATTTATGTGAATATAAATAGCTGTACTGAATGCTTTAAAGACTGAAAACATTGTAGAGATTTACATTTCAGTTTGTTTTGACAGATAGACAAAAATATATTTTGGAAAGGAGCAGTAAGATTTCCACTGTAACACTTCCCATAATTAGATTGTAAAAGACACTGAAATATTTACATTCACTGTACTGAAGGCTTATGCCTCAGTTCTGCTTACTACTTGAGCTCCAGAAAAGCACTTAATTGCTTAACTTTAAACTACTGTGAGCCCCAAGCTTTCTGCAGATGTTCACACCCACCGTCATTTATACCATCATTTTTCCCACCCTGCTCACTGCTCATTGTGTAGTGGAGATTCACATTTTTCAAAGGTTTTCTTTTCTTCTGAAACAGAAGCTAATGTTGCTTAATGCTTAATGTTAAGCATTAATACACATATCAAACTAAAAACATTGATAAAACTTTCCTCTGAAAGGAAATGTAATTGGAAAGATGCTTTTTCTAACAAATGCTTCCTGTCCTTCACTCCAAATGACTGAAATGTTTTTTATTGTTTTCTGTGTTCTCTCAGTACAGCATAATTTGTTTGAGTTCCAAATCCCTCATGAGTTCTGCAACCAACCTCGAGTGTGTTTCCAGGACGTAAAGGTCAGAGCTGGAGAAGACACAGACAGAGGGTACAGAAGACAAGTCTCAGAACCTCTTGCTTCAAATCCATCACTTTCATAGAGAAATAAAAAGACAGCAAAGTGCTCCTCTTTTAGAGGCAAATCAGCCATTGGGAATGATTGGCTGATTGGGAATCTCTCAACTGAAAATGGGCACTCCTGAAATCAAGGAGAGAGGATGGCTTTCCCAGAGAACTTCTGCATGGAGATTTGACTTCTGAATTTCTTGGATTTCTTAAATGAAAACCTTACACTGGGAATTCCAAACAACACAGTCTGTAATGTTCGGTTGGCGTTCAGGATTCAGTGAAATCTCCTGGGCTACCTTATTTGTTGTTGTCTGTTTCATCAAGGTCTTCCACGGTACAAATGTGATCACCAGTATGCTAATCACTGTATTAGACATGCAAATATGTAAACATTTGTGTGCCAAATTATTAAGTTTTTGCCGATAGTGTTATGCCCCTATTTACTCTCTATCTTTTATGTCTTATGGATTTCCAAACATTTAGATTTATATCAGTGCTGTCACATATCTGCAAGCAGAGACAGTTTTATGAGCACTAAAAAAGCTGCAACACGCAGACACTAAATACTAATGACATAAATGGTATCCACTAATGGTCTCTATTTTTATTACAATGCAAAACTTCAATATATTGCAATTACCACTGCTCTCAGACTGAGCCATACACGGCATATAATGCCAGCTTCCATCTCTACAGCATAAAATGGCATTATTTGTTGCATATAGTTCAGCCCTGTACTGCAGATGTTGACTGAACGCCCAAGTCAGCAGTTGCAGCTAAAATTCACTCTATTTACTGAGTCTTACTGTTAACTAATACCCTAAATTGTCAGATATGCCAATGCATTAGACATTTTTCAAAGCCTACTGCACTAATAGCATGTAAGCGTAGCACGTCTTGTTGTACCTGTCAACAGCCCAGTAACTTTGCAAAGGTAAAACATGTCAAAAAATGAAATTATCTTTCTGTGCGTCTGTCTTCAAAAATCTTCAGCAAGAGATTTTTCCAAAATATTTCAATACAAAAGTGCACTTGACAAAGCTTATTCTCTTGTAAATGAGTCTCCATTTTAGCTTTTTAATGATAAATGTTACATTTTTTGTTCATAATTAGAAGAGTCTCTCCTTTTACAGCAGCTATCAGAGAGTGAAAAGTTTGTTCTTCAGATTTCAAGACAGTGGAAACCATGCATCAGTTACATCCACAAAATTGGGTGAAAAAGGAACATGGCAAAATCTCATACAAATATTTGGGAGGAAACAAAACTGATTTCACCTACACTTTTTACTTGCCAGAAACTGTCACCAAAATGGAGCGCTAAGACTTTCTTGTATGTATTTATCTGGCATAAAAAAAGCATAGTTACTCCTTTCCATTGACTTCAGCTGAGAATATCCTCCAGTAGGCTGGAAGCTTGTAAGAAGCAGCATTTTTCCTATTTCCATGCAGCTGGGTACTCTTTCACACAAGGAAAACACTGGAGACAAAGTAGGTGTCAGACTTGGTAGCATTTTACATGCATTTTCTGACACAAAGCAGACAACAGAAACGTGCACACAAAAATATTTCCCTTCAAGGACCAGCTAGTGAGAACAACAAAACCTAGTAAATCTGTATACTTATTATAGTTATCATATATTTCCAAATGATACTTGCCTTTAAAAAATGCAATGGAATTATTACTGTTAACTTTAACTGTGATAAACCACTCCACTGGAAGTTAGTATTTTCTTAAAATGTTCTCACTGGGCTTGCATAAATCTAAGCATACATGACTGACTATAGAAGAATGACTGATGCAAAATCCATAAAATAATAATATCTAGAGCTTCCAACTGAGAATACTGATATGGTATTCCTTATTTTTCCCATCATATTTTCTCTGACAGTAATATTGAATATGACAAGTGCTTTCTAATGTAATCTGTACCCACCTCAGTGTTCTAATCTTTTGACTGAATGGGTTTCTATCAGAGATCCTAGTTAACTGCCTCTGTTATGCAGTTACAGCGACAAAATTCCAACTGAAAATTCAGTGACAGTTTAATTTCAGAAAACAGGATTTCTCAAAAGAGCAAATACATTGATTTAAGTAGTTGCACAAAAATACAGGTTTTCAATATAAGTAAATATTTTAATTCATTTTCTCAACTGGAATTGAAAGTTATGGCTCATTTTCTCAATTCCAAATGTTGATTCTCTTCATTTGCAATCCTCCCAACACAACGTTAGAGTTGAAACAGTCTGATTGACTTTAGTAACATCAAAATGAAGAATTTAAGTACATGAAAAGCATTTTATTTTCTAATGAATTCCTTCTTTCTCTTAAGGAAATTTCTGGGTAAATATAATCACTTTGAGGTGTATTTTTGGACGTTATAAAATTTTGTCTTTCACATACTCTGTTGTTCACCAAAGTTCCTTCTCCTTGCTTAACAATTGCTTTGCACAAAAGGAGAAAGCTCTTTTATGAATGCCATGGACAAAATCTGAAGCATATCAGCTTGAAAGAAAACATTGACTAAGTTTCTAATTTAATTCCTCAGATAGAAAAGAAGCAATAGACCACAGATCTGCTAATGTCAGATCAACAGGAGTCTTACCCACTTTTTTGTTGCTTTCCTTTTTTCCCTTAAGTTGGACTTCACAGGTTTGCCAGAGCAGCTTTCTATGCAGCAAGGCCTGGTGCCATCCCTCCATTAGGGAACATGGCACCTTCCACCTGGCTGCATAAAATAAAATTTCCTTCACTGAAATTACAATAAAGAACCTATGGAAACTAACAGGAGCCTTTCTTACACTTCATTGGATGGTCAAAAATCAAGCCCTAAATTAAAAGCCACTTACCTCTCTTACTTGCCTAGAATATTTGGCTACAGATGGTTTTCTTTTCACATGTAGACATCAACTACCTTAAGAAGTGCATTCTAATAAAGTCAGTTGCCTACATTCACATGCCCTCCAAAGGAACTGAATTAAAATATTTATACCTAAGGAAAAAGTTCTAAGGTTTCCTCTTGTAACAATTCAATAAAACAGCTCATTATAATATCTGGAAGATTTAGACTTTTGTCTTGTAACCCTGGAAATGGATAGCTCCAACCTTTGAAAGAAATTGCAGTATGGACATTGGTACTCTGGAGTTGTGTCTGAGCAGACTACTAGCAGAATACTGATAAATGCTACAATAGCTATTCTTTTTCCTCCCCTTCTGCTTTTATGCCACTGCCAATACCTGCCCTTCCCCTGGTGCTTTCAGCTGATGCCTGTCTCATAACTCGCCAGCTAACAGCATTAGAAGAAAAAGAAATTAAGCTCAAATAAAACTGCCAGGTAGAATTCAACATTACGAGATTACGACTGAATTGTTTTCAGAAGCAGGCACATATATGCACAGTTACAACACTAATGACCTACAAAGGACTTACACGATAAAGGTTAATCACTATAAGATATATATATATATTTTAATTTTATTTAAAAATATATATATATATATATATTAAAATATATATATATATATATATTTTTTTTTTAAGGGTAAATATATTGAAGCTGATTATTTTTCCTCTTCTGGTAGTTCTACAGTGTTTAATGGCAATAATTAACTTTGTCTTCTCCATACCTTTCCCAAGGTCCACATTTGTAGCATCCTACACTGCTCCGTGTCTGCATACAGTCATTCAAAACATGCATGTTGTCAGGACAACAAGCAGGCAGTCAGGCACACAGTCGCATCTGCACAATTCTAAGCATTTGCACTTTTGTAGTAAGTTTGCAAACATAAGGAGCTGCAAGCACAACTGTCCCGTGAGTAACAATAAATCACCGAAATGATGGAAAGGAACACACAGTATAAAGACTACATAATATTTATGAAGAAATTTGAAAAGTAATTGCAAGCCATGTAAGTAAGAAAAGATGAGGACTCTGTTGTAATGTCAGCTTAAAATAGCAGTATAGAATTGTTTATGTGCCTTTGTGAAACAAATGGGTGAAGCCTAACACATCACAGAAAAGTTACTCGTGCTATAATTTATGCCA